CATATACATATTGTATGGACAATCAATTAGCATTTATATAGATGATAAAACAAGTCAGGATAACATGTACTTCTAATGTCATATTCTATCAGGTTCATTTATCCTAAAATTCAAATGGTCCTTTATCTTACCTTTTTGACAAATCCCAAGTAAAATTCGAATAAGTATATCATCTACTTCCCGTTTTTAATCAATGAATTTGAGGTTTAACATTTTTATTTCAAATGTCAAATGGATATTGATAAAGCATATTATATTGATGTTTTCAAATCTTGATTATTTCAAATGAACCGTCTTTGTTAGCTTTGATTATGTAGACTTTCATCATTCAAACATTAAATGTTTATTCAAGTTGCTCGTAAGAATGTACTGTAAATAAGGATTAACTTGACAAAACTTAAAGGACATACTCCACCCTCTAAACAAATTATACCCTGCCTCAAATTTGAAAATTTATAACCAATAGACTCAGACTATTCTTAATCTTTCTGAACATAGGTTTTTGATTCAACGACTAAAAGGGGATCGCAAGTGCTCATGCATGATATGCAAGTTTTCTATTGGAAGCATGCTTATTTAACAGCAGATATACATGTAGTCCTACTAAGTGAAATGTTTAAGTTCATATGGTTTTATGTCATATAATTCACAATTTTCTAATACTACACAAAAACTCATATGTCTGGTTTGAAATAATATTTTGCTGATGTAACAAGTCAAGGGTCGTACTTCATGTACTAGAAACCTCATACTACATTTTGACTAAAAAATAGTGTCAACCTCCTACCACCATTAAAGCCAATTGATCAAATCACAGCATTCATTAAAATTCATTCATTAAAAATATGTACTTAATTTATTACTTTCATACAAACTTATTCTTCTATTACATTTGAATTACAAATCTTTTAGTTTCGATTTCTATAGCTGGTAGTGATCAAATGATAGTTCCAGTTGGAGCTGCACAATACTCCAAACATCACATAAGAATGTGGAATATATATTCATAACATATCTATCACCATATTGTAAACCATAAATAAACATTCATAGTCAAAATAATAGTTATTGAAGATAAGAAAATTGTTCTAAAATCATACAAGGCATTAAAATGCAGTGTCACCACCTGCCATTTGTTACAGATGCCTACCACAGAACACAAACCATCAAATGTAGACCTGCGATCTACAAAAAAGTTGGAGACTATAACAATATGTAATAAAAATAGTCATATAAAACGTATAGAGGTCACTATAATCTTGTGTCACAATTTCTAATTTATCAGCCTAATTATGTTGATTTAGAATTAGGCCATAAGAAGTAAATTCTTTGTTTTGCGTCCACTTGCTTGCACGATTTTGAGTAAATCAGAAAAAAACACATCTAAAAAGCAATCACAAGGGGCTGAACGTACTATTGCATTTCGTTCTGTCAAAATCAGAAATGACGGACAATTTGATGTGGATCAAAATTGACAGTGTTATTGATTACTTTGGCATATATTGCGCATTTTCTTATTTCGGTTACCTTTGAATAATAGCTATGTGTAAATATATTATATATGATGTATAGATATGTGTTTGAAATCATTGCAAACTAGTATGTCATCCCTTTTATGCCAATAAAATGTATACATTTCTTAAGCAAACAAGTTTGTGTTTTTTCTCAAGTTTGTATTTGTTTTCCTTGTACCCTTGCATGATTTGGATTTTGCCAGGACGCAAAACAAAGAATCTACTTCTTATGGCTTTAGTTAAATAATCATGAGCACTATCCAATATCTTATCTGCACAGAAACAAAAATTAAGATATGACAATACTCAGTGTCAATACATACCATCTTCCTATCACAGGGCTTCAAATTCCAGCATGTATATCCTTTCTTTTTACCCCCTGCTATGAGCAGTTAGCATTTCCCCGATTAAGAACTCGCAATCTGATTGGCTGTCGCAACACTGCCACAGAAATCATGTATAAGTCATTGCGCATAATTAGATCACGTGATTCAGTTAAATCAGGCGCTTCCAAATTGGTTATAGCAGGGGGAAGAAGGAGGTACAGATTCTGGACACCTGCTTAGGAGGATGATACATACATGTATACAGAATATCAAATCATTTTGAGTGAGATACAATTCATATCAACGAGAGAATATCAAATATCAAAAGGATATGACAAGAAATGATCTAGCTGCTATTGGGATTATTAATAGGCTTTTTATCCAATGAAGATTGTGTTAATTCTCATCAAATATCCTTCTATCTGGTAATTTTATATTCTACTTAGCTTTCTCGTGTATTTTTCATTCACTTCCTGCAATATTTCCCATGATGCATTATCATCTCGTATAATAGTCATGTGATTACTCCTACTGACAAGTGTTTGACACATTTATACATTTAACCTGTAAATATCATTCTATATATGTATGCATGTGTTTTTCAAGAACAATGTTTACATTCTTCATGTGAACTCACGTGAAGGAATGAGCCCAAATATGGTGGGACCGCTGAGAAGCAGTTTTGTACCGAAACGTTGTTGAGTATTTGAGTTCTTTTTTAACATAAAAAGTTCCCCAATATTCTGCACGGTCTCTTCCCATGATGCATGCGCATTCGAAGTAGGAGGAGTCAAATCATGGTGACATGATAGCACCGTATGGATCTAATCAATCAACCATCTCAGAAATTATTTTGGGAAGTATCGGTGCTGTAATTCGGAAGAAAATCCTCAGTGTCATTTTGAATTTAATTTGCAGAAGACAAAACATGGGATTTGAACATTAGTTCAGATACGAGACTTGATATCAAGCCCGATATCAAGGCTGGTATTTTGAAAAATCAAGCCCACATTTATGATACAGACTATATATCTACCAGACACCCCGCACAGAAGCAAACCACATGCCATGCCAGTGTCACGTATATTTTAGGAAAAACGCATCCCCTGTTGATCACTTTCTAGTTTTTACATGAGCTTTCAAGAGAAAACACATGATGATCATGGTTGGTTTTCATGTTTTTAGAAATAGTCACTTTCGGGAAAAAGTCATAAACCTACAGACTTATTTAGAATTAGAGTTATGTATTATTGAGAATGGATTGCAAGTGTCTCGAATTTGGGGTTCTGCCAGCGTTAAAGCTTCCTTTATACCTAAAAACAAAAATATGCTTACCAAACTTTCAGAAACTTTCAAATGTGTCTGTTCGTCTTTGTTTATATTGGGTGTTGCGTCAAATTTGCGAACGGAATGACACTCGAGTTTCTCCCAGTTTCTGCAGTTAACCATCAATCCTGCCATCTTTTAATTCAGTGAAAAAAATTCTACTAAATTTTTCGCATTGTCCTTGACGACAATGTACGAGAGCTCATGGGTTTTCAATCTCTTGAAGCCCATGGAGAGCTATCCTTAAAACGAAGTCAAGGATGCGAAGGGTAATGGTTGATCGTTCCAGAATTGCCACTTTGTGATTGATTGTTCTACGTGCGATCACTTTGTTTTAAAATTGTTTCATGGTCATGATCAGCCTCACCCGGTAGGGTTGATTGTTCTTCATTGCCCTATGTGGTTGATCGATCAACGATTATTCCTTTTATATTGTTGGTTATACTATTATTACAAGCTTTGGTTGATTGTTCCCGGCCCATTTTATGGCTGATTGTTTCTATGCGTGAATGTTTCACGCTTGTCCCTCTTTAGATATCAGTGTTGATTTTTTCCTCTATGGCTGGTGTTCCACATTGCACTTCCATTTTTCCTCAATGGTTTATTGTTTTACGATTTTACAGTTGAAAACTTTTGTACTGTATCTAGTGCTAATATCTTTAACTTTAGTACATATTGTGTCCATGATGTCAGTTGTTTTCAGTCAAATTTGGACACCAATCATAACTCGGGGTGAAGCGTTTCAATAATACTTATAAACAGATAAAATCATACAATTAATATATAAGCTTAACATTTTCATTAGTCTTCAAAACTGCAGACCTCCCCCTATCTACTTCACTAACAAAATGTTGAACTTCATTTTGGTAGAATCGTATAGATCTCTTAGAATGTCCCCTATTTTCTATAAATTAAAAAATCATGGATATCTAAGACTAACATTCCTCGAATGTATAGAGAAAGGTATGACTAGGAATGATATGAGGCAACAAGACGCATTCATGAAGGTCGTTTTTTCTCTACCTTTCATGAATGTTAATAATGATAAAATTATGAAATCATGGTGTTCAATTTAGGGTTCGGTTCCCGGGGCCTGGTTTCACCATAACCCTGCATCATGGAAAGTAAAGGACAAACTTCAATTCGGACATCATTATGTCATATTTGTCAGTGACTATAGTTGGGAACAAATATAAATGACACATGGATTTTCTATCACCATTTCCTAACCATGGTCGTCTGAAAGCCCATAATTTCCAATATTGTCTAGATATATATCCCTTAAAATTTGTATATTTTACATTTTGTATAAGCTAATCCCATCCACTGATGTATGACCTCTTGAAAATTCTCTTATTTTTATCATGGGAAATCCTCACTTCAGCAAATCCTCTCATTTATTTATGTTCCAAACTGTATTAATTTCAAAATGAATAAAAACTTCTTTACATGGGTCAATGGAAGACAATTTCGTATCGTTCGATAAATAAGCATTTTCCTCAAAATTTAGTAATGTCATATTATCATGAAAGGGTCGTTGATGTTAAGAGCGATTTCGCACAACGACCCCCCCCCCCCAGTTCTCCATTAACCCCACCCAGCGAATTACTTAGTATCAGAATGTATACGAATTTCGTACCCGATTTCATACCGTATAAGGCGATATTAGTTTATCAATAGTGGTCAAAATAAATCGTGTTTAATTCAAGATCGTATTTATTCAAAATATCAAATCCTGGATCACGACTACTTAAAGGTAATTCAAAAAGATAGTGAGTCACAGGTCTTCTATTTATAGTTTATACACAGGTTTATACATACCACCATGTGCTTTGGATGATTACTCGATTGTTATCCCCAGTCGTGACTCGTGACGTTTCATGGGGTTCCCTTCCCTGATTGGTTATCCTCCTCAATAGGCCTCCGTATATTAATCGGTCGTCCAATACCTCAGTATAACAGACGAGGCCTTTGTTGTACCAATACATACACACGGGTACAATATTATTACACACACATATAAAACAATATTAGAAAATCTTGGAGAACACACCGTTAGAAATAACATAGCACAATGAACGGGAGTAACGGAGCAAGGAACGGTCACAGGAACCCACACTTGGACACACTACAGTGGAAAATTGGACTGATAAACTCGGACGGAAAATACTTGACGGCCGAGACATTTGGTTTCAAGATCAACGCAAGTGCACCCACACTAAGGAAGAAACAGTTCTGGACCCTTGTCCAGGACACGACAGAAGAGGTCGTATACTTGAAGTCACACCTTAATAAGTACCTCGCCGGTGATGCACAGGGCAATGCAACCGCCGATTCCGACGAAAAAGACCAAGACACGAAATTCGTGCTTGAATATCATAAGGACGGATCCGGAAGATGGGCTTTCAAAAATGTCGTGACAGGCTATTATTTCGGAGGTGCTGAGGACAATTTGCGGTGCTACGAGAAGCTCCCGACTGATAGGGAATGGTGGGTCGGTCATCTGGCCGTACACCCTCAGGTTAACCTACGTAACGTCAACCGTAAACGTTACGCCCATTTGGACATCAATGATTCGGAAATTCATTGTAATGAAATCATTCCTTGGGGTGCCGATTCTTTGATTACAATTGAATTCTGCGAAGGTAAATACGGAGTGAAGACATGTGACGGAAGATACCTTCATAGAGATGGTCAGTTGGTCAGTGAGCGTGGGGCAGACACTCTGTACACTTTAGAAATCCGATCGGGGCAGTTCCAGGGTCTGGCGTTCAGAGACTGTGTAGGGAAGTACCTGACAGCTGTAGGGCCCCTGGCTACGATGCGGGCCAGGAACAAGGTGGTCACAAAAGACGAGCTTTTCACCCTCACTGACAGTCACCCACAGGCGACATTCATTGCGCACAATGGCAAGATGGTTTCCACCAAACAAGGTAAGCCGATTACGTAATACAGTAATATGAAGGGCTGATTTAGTCTGAGACTAGGGGCTGAGACTGATATTTATGAACGTGAAAGTTTTGTTTATCAATTTCTAGTTGATCAATGTATATAAATGAACCATGGCCTGATTAATTAATCAGATAACAGATGCGAGTTGGGAAGGTATCAAATGTACTGAATCAATACACAGGGTGCCAGACTGTCTCCTGGTAAACTACCTATCAGTAACTTGCAACAGACGGGCGGATTATCAACAGGATTAACTAAATAATCCAACTGCTGGTCTTTGCTTACATTACATAATCATCATTCGATGAAAACATCCGTTTATTTTGAATTCTTAGCCATACATGAACTACAGTATCGACAATGAATTTTGAATTGCGGATCCACCCCTCAAACATAAACCAAACCAGACAACATCGTATGTTTCGCACATTACACACCTCGGTGAATCTGTTTCCCTATTTGGTTGTTTTCGTGCAATATTTGCATCCACGATGCGTGACAAGGTAAGTTCGTGCAGGCTGAAACAGTCGGGATATTTTTCAAAAATGTTAAATGACATGTTTCTTGGCTTTTCTCCCACGGTTTGAATGGGAAAATTGGGAACGACTTCCAGTCAGCGTGACTTTCTTAATTACACGACCAATTTGACCCGTAATTCACTTCGGTAAAGTTTAGAGATAAAGAGCTTTTACTGAGAATCATGGGGACCTTTTGTATGTAATCGTTGATATAACGTGTAATGACTAAGCAGAACCATATCGTCGAATGCCACGCTTGACCATGTGCTTGTGTTTACGTTTAAAGCAGGAAGTAAATGCAACGCGCTGATTGCATAAGACAGCCACCGCCCATTTGTTATGTAAACAAAGCCACGTGGTCAGTGGTCAGTCTGTCAGTTCAGTATAAATTCAATCATTCTCAAGACTCAAAGAACGTTGCAATCAAATCGTCTGCTAACTTTTCTATAGTCGGTAGACGAGCATCAATTCAGATAGTATTCCAATCTTGCTGATATACATCTGTTTGATACATGGTTTAGTCACTGGTGATTCATGGAGTCAATTTTCAGAAATCCACGATGTGTAGTTTTCTTGGGGTCTGCTTGAATGGGAATTAAAAGATGTGGTTTCAATCATCAAAAGAATCAATATGCGTATTTCTTTGCATTTATTTAACCGTTTGAGTCATCCGCTAGTCTATCACTTCCTTGTCTCATTGTCAACAGTAATTCTTTTCACTAAGTCTGAATAATTAGTTTATATTGGGCTTATGAGCCTTATGGTATTTGCATGTGAACAGTTATGCGGTCTCAGTCAGGGCATCCTGCCCTCTAGGCCGACCGGGTCTAGCATTAACCCACTCAGTGTACACTAATCATCATTTATTTTGAGGGTTTATGTTAAAAAGAACACCTGGGTGAATCCTTTCACTTTGAACTTTCAATTTGTGCATGTTTATCACATAGAAATAGATTAGTCATTTTCTCAGTGATGATGACCTGAATGTAGCTTGAGCCTGTTCATGCTGTTAAGACATTCCAAGTTGATGCCCCATCCCACTCAGTTCATCAGTCTTGCCTAAGATGACCAAAATGAAGGGGGTGGGGTGTGGGGGGGGGGGGGGCGCTAACACTCTCCCCATTGATGATGAGAAAGATCATGAACAATCAACTGACAATGAAGAACTTCCTGTTTTTGGAATGATTACATTTGACCACTGAAACTCTATACTGCTTTGAGATGAGGTATAACTTCAATGGTTAAGAGAGGGGGGGGGGGTCTGGAGATGTGAAGTAGAAAGATAAGGGGGGGGGGGTAAAGACTGGAGGGTAGACATATAAAGGGGGCAGGGGAGGTTGTAGAGAAGGATGGGTAGTGAATGGCAAGGGAGGTGGGGTTGATGTGATGTTTGACACATTAAAGTATTGATGCCCAGTTAGCAGATAACAACCCATATCAATACTAATATAAACCCTGGGATTAGAATGCCATGAATAATTAACTCAAAGTGTAACTCTACCTATAACATGCAGATGAACATTCCAATGAGGAAGTCATTCTTGAATAATGCATCCATACTGAATAATGTATCAAGATCTTCAGTTGTAAATTCCAACTTTCCAAGTTCCCAAGCTTGATAATATACAAACATTGATAATTTGATTTATTCAATAGTGACACTGTTGGCTGTTGACCAATCGGATTACTTGAATTTACATCAGTGTGTGATAATTGGGAGTTATCCACTGATTAAAAATTATTGCTCATCACAGATGTTAATATACAGCAGTTATTAGGAGATATGACTCAATGCCAGACAATAATGAAATTATTAGCCTTGAGCAATATTATTGAATCAATGATTATCTCTCTCTCTCATACAGTTAAATGGCCATCAATGTCAGACTTCACATTGAATTCTTTTAATGTATTTGCATTTTAAAGTTCAACCTTCAACTGGAAGATTATACATGAGATGGTCTCACTAAAGGTGATAGTGAAAGGCACATTTTGTAATACCTCTAATAATGTGTCTTGTAATAGCATTGTTATTCTGGTTTGCAAATGGCAAGGCTCAGATAGAAATATATGATATGACTTATCATAATGTTGCCTCCTATACATGTATGTCAGGCTCGTAGCCAGCTTTTGCCAAGGGGGGGGGGGTCACTTTTCAAAAAGTGGGGTCATATTCGACTTCATGCTTTGGCCAAAAATAACTTAAAAATTGCTCAGAATGGTGATTTTGAAAGGATTTCACCCCTTGTTATGGGCCTGAGGTACAAGCGCACCAGACTGAGACAATACATTCACAATTCCCCTGTGATCTCTATTATAAAAATCTCATGATGGAAGCAGCATACAATACACATGATCTACCATTTAATGTTAAAGTCTGACACCAGATCCTGAAGTTAATTAGATGTAATATGATTAGCTGAATGCTCAAGGGATTCAGATATCTCTGGAGGAAGCTGGCACCCTTACTACCATTAATACCATGTTACATTCATTGTTCAATTAATGCCTGACACTATTATTGAAGTCACAACTTCCTTTTAGAAATTGAACAACTGTTTTGTGGCTCATCATCACAAGTCGTTTAATTGTTGTAGTGAGTTATCTCCAAGAAACGGTCACCATACCAATATTTTTAAGTTGCATCTTGCATGAAGTCTTTTGTCACACCAAACAGCATAAAGACAATACTGGCAAACAATAGAGCATACTGAATAAACAGGGGCATCAGATGCTATTGTAACAGTATCTTGGATTCCCTAGCAGTTACCTTTCTGGCATTGTTGAAATATATGAACGAGAGAACAAGTCTGCTACATGAACAGCGATACAGATGTAAATTTTTCTTAATTATGTTATGTAAGCTTAAATAATTTAACACTGATGTATCAGCTTGACACCATCTCATGCTCCAACATACTTCATACTGTCATATGCATTAATAAAAGAAAGTGAGTACTGTTGACCTTCATCAGCAGTTCTTTGATTTACTACTACATTATAAGTTAATGATAGTGTTAACACTAAAGAACATTTCTATAGATGTTACCCTGCACTATCCCAATTTGCTAGTCACCTCCTCCCCTCTTTGAATACTTAGGATAATTTCACAAAGAACAATATGCTGATGTGATCTTCAATTGACTTTTGTTGGGAGTTGACTGTGTATTGAATTATATCTTATACTAGGGAGATAATGAAATATGCTTTGCTGCCTGCATTTTCTGATTGGATATAATCTTAAATCAGGCTAAATCATAGAATCATCTCTATATTAAGAGTGTTGGATGAAGTCAAACTCTTGAGAAGAGTAACAGAAATTATGACTTTAAATCATACATGTAGACTTATGTCACATCAAACATAAGTGTTACGTATAATCATACCTAATTGATCATATTTTATTATCTTCAACCACTACTGTGTCAAGTTGTCCTAACATGCAGTGTCAGACAGCAATGACACTATATACTGTGACACTTTCAAGAATATACTATAGAAGCATGTATATGTGTATTATATCACCTCTTGTGAAGTACAACTTGTAAAAATAACTTAAATAATGCAAGGGTAAATGCATAGATTTTTTTAGAAATTCGGCTGTACGAGTGTTTATGATTTTTTTGTATCTTTGAAAAGTCCAGGTGTGATATGGCAAATGATTTAATACAAGCATATGCCATGACTATATTCTGACCATAAATACAACATTTGTTATCAAAACAATGTTTTTCTCCAAGTAAGATACCTTGGATGATAAAACAACATAGTCTATCTATGCTATTTGCTCCTATCCATTGTTTTCAGGCAGTTTGGTCACCAAAATTTGATATCTTCCAACTGAGACTTTCAGTGCCATTCTACCTTTCAAGAATTGAAAGATCTACTACAATATACTAGGGATCATACTCAGAGGAAAACATATCATTTTGATTAAAAATGTTGTATTTCTGATCTGGTTCTTTGGCCTATCATGTAATTGGCTAAAATCAATCATTGCTTAAATTCTATGCAGCAGAAGTTGATTTATTTATTTCACTGCCAATATGAAATTGCAAACCTACGATTTGTAATACTACAACCACGTATACCTTATTAAAGTTTTTATAACCTTAAGAATCTATTTAGGTAAAATACATTAATTATTAATTATAAAAAGTATCATCTTCTCATCAATTTGTAAAAATCATGGATTTCTGAACTCATTATTATATAATTTAGTTGAGTTAAAATCTAATAAGTAAAAATGAATTAACATAGATATGGCTTGTTATAAATTTCTATGTAAAAAAATTGTCAGATATGTTAAGTGGTACTTGTATTATGTGTGTATATACTGGTATATATTACTGCATGGTGTGACTGCTTACTTAAAGGTTATCAGAGCATTGTGGGATTCGTGACAGGATGTTAACGATCACGCAAACATACTGCTGTCTGTATAGGCTGTATAGAATTCTATGGCAAAGTCTAATGTAATGTGAATGTACACCTTCCTTGCCAATGCACAATAAAATACATCCTTTCTGCTAATGAATCTCAAAGACATTCCCATCCCAAATGATTTACCATAAAACCAAACAAGGCATCCTAACATGCAAAATGTCACCACCTGCCATTTGTTACAGACACCAAATGCTGACCATGCCACTAACCCCGGAATACCTTCCACAAAACTTGGTGACATAAAAATCATGACAACTAATAGTTGATTGATAAACAATATTTTAAAATTTTGCATAGGGCCTTTATATCCAAAATTGGGCTAGCTACTGTCTCTTTAAAACATACCATGGGCTCTAGTTGAAAGCCCATGAACATACTGATGTGCATGCCCAGGGGGTTTACTGTGTATAAACCTTGACGGGGATCCTAGGCACACACTACATTGTAACATGAAATCTAGTAAGTACAATCCGGGCCCTGTACAGTTCCCCTCTATCCCCAGGCTGAGTTCATATGAAGTAAAAGACTCCACTCTCCCAATGCCATCATACATAACTGACATCAATCATAGGTCTACACAGTACACAGTCGCAAACACATCTGTTACTACATATCTCTGCATTGCTTTTTAATTCCCGCTCCTTTCGTGACATCACGTTAAACGTTTTGAGATTCAAGGTCAAGGGTCAAATATGTGACTGTTTTGTCTGAAATAAATGATACATATTTAAGGTCAATTGTGGGTAGAAAGAATTTATTGGCAGAGTTTAATTTGAAAGATACCCAGGTGTGAATTGCAAACCTGAAATTGGAGCATACAAATTAATTGAAACAAACTTATATGGATTCATCTTGAATGCAAACACAAGGCATGACATAAACACAAAACCATTGAGGATGACACATATTAATCTTCAACGTAACAAAATTTTCTTGGTTTAAAATAATCATTTCAAAAAAAATTAAATCATTTCAAAAAATTTTGAGCTCTGTTGTTAATTTAAAACCCTTTGAAAAATTTGAGTCCACTCCCAACAAAAACTGGATTCTGCCCTGTGTGCATTGACGGGAAGCCAACCTTTCATATAACATCACTGTGACGACCGCATCCAATATGTCAGTCTGCAGTAAAAGCAATGCCGTGTACCTTGCTGAAACCCATCATTTCAAGCAATAAATCAATGTACACACTGTGATCATGAAGTATTGTAATAATATAGCCATACTTCAGTACAAATAATGACACACTTGATATCGTTATCAATAATATATTATTTAAAATTATTTTGTAACATACATTTTGTATTTTCTATAACATATAGTTTCATTTGTAAACAAAGGTAACTCAAAGCTAATTATCATTTTTTATACCAGAATTGAATATCTTGTTCACAACTTAAATGAGTATTTCAGTAATTAGAGCAGCATACAAATTGCCTTTCAACTACATGATGATTTTTTTTTAACTTGAAACCAAGACTCCATTTTGTTTGTACACTGCATCATTTCTTTTATGTTCATCAAAACATAAAAAACCTAATCTAAAACCTTGTATCTAAATCCAAATTCCATGATTCCAAATTCTAGCATGACACATCACTTTTATCCAATGTCACAACAACATTAACCATTGTCACACCAATATTAGCCAATGTCACACCAACATTATTCACTGCTATATCATTGCAGGTATTGATGTGACAGCCAACCAAGATGAAGTGACAGACCGAGAGACATTCCAGCTGGAGTTTGATACAAGCTACAGTAAATGGAGCGTCCGCACAGTGGATGATAAGTACTGGCTACAACAGAGTAATGGTGGAATTCAAGCGACATCAATGGATGCGTAAGTTCTTTCAATCTCTTTCTTCTATCTTCTCTTTTATACATTGACATCTCCATTGAAGTATTTAGATGGTTTCAGATTTGCTTCCATATCTTCTCTTTTTTATCACCTATTTGTCATCTTCATTCAGAAGTTTTTAGATTTTCCGTGATAAGTGTATTACTGTTTCCATGGCAACTGCATTTATTGTTAGTGTAGTACCAGTGTGTAGGAAATTGCTATCACCTGTGTACAGGTATTCTATAGAGGATCATGTATTATCATTGTTGAAGGTTCTGTCTTAATGTGGTCAATTCATGCAATGCACCTGAAAATGAAAAATTCATATGTCAATACACATATACACATTATAAAAATCATCAACTGAATATACAAATAAATACTATTGTTATGCCTTCCAACTACAAATTCACTCTACAAGTAAAGGATTTGGTCCCAGAGATTAAAATGTAGCAATGTATCTGATATATGAGCTAAGAAATATGTTGTATCTTTCCAGCAATGAGAACACAATGTTTGACCTGGAATGGCAGTCTGATGGAAAGGTGGCACTAAAGGCTAAAAACATGTACGTCACTGGAAAAATGAATGGAGCCCTTTATGCCACTAGTGAAACAGTAACAAATAAAGAACAATTTCAAATGACTCTAGTGAACCGCCCAATTTTGGTGCTAAGATGCGATTATGGATTTGTAGGCTTCAAGAGCGCTAGTTCTAATAAATTAGAATGCAACAAGTCTGTTTATGACCTAATGCAGGTTGAACATGGGGAAAATGGAACTTATTACATAAAAGGTGGGTGAAAAATTTCTTCAATTGTGACATTATCAGTTTCAGTTGTGACAACTGACATTTTCAGAGTTGCATTGAAATTATCAGTTTCAGTTGTGACAACTGATATTTTTAGAGTTGCATTGAAATTATCAGTTTCAGTTGTGACACTGATATTTTCAGTTGTGACATTTTACATTCATGACGCTGACTGCTTATACAGGTGCGATGCTTACAAATCTGATTTGTCACGGGGCAAATACTCTCAAATGTGAATCATGATTCAAGAAAATCATTTTTCATTTGTGCTGTCTTTAAAATGATATATTTTTTGAGTCATGAACACATTCGTTGCCTCCAGAATCTAAGTACAATATAATCATTCAAAATATGTCAATTTGACATAATGCCATGTTTATCTCCTAATTTATTGGCATTTACAACATTATTAAATCACGTTGAATGATATATTGTATGAGATTATGTGATTGTTCCGCCTATAATAAATAAATAAAATAACATGTTTGAATGTGCTAGCTTATACTAGAATAGTGCTTCGAAGTGTAGAGTTATTATTAACTTAATATTAAGTTTGCTTGCTATCATAATCTGCTTTGCATTTAATTAGAATTTTGTTTATTTATAATTTACAGATATGAATCGTAAGTTTGCAATCAGTATTGATTTACTGCACTGTTTAACACTGCACAGTTCAGAATTGAACAATATTTTTTAAACCCTGTAGATCTACACAGCTTATTTGTAATCATCTTGCTGAGCACTGGTTTAAATGGAGCTTAGCTTTTACTTATCTGCTTATAACTTAAGCTTTTGTGCTTATACTTACCTAACAAACCATACATAATTGTGTGTAATAGACCAATCAAGTTCATCATTCCACTTAAAAAGATTTAAACAAAATTCCCAGGGATTTTTTATTTCTTTCATTTGTGGGCACTAATTAGAATAGTACTATCACTGCTAATTTTCAAAAAGGACGATTCTCGGTTTGGAGAATGAAGTTCATCAATCTAAATGAACATTATCCCTGCTTCGGACAAATTTGAATTTTTTACATAATATAGATTTGAATGTCTTCTTTTGAATAGTCATAATTTAATTTGGGTAATATTTCTAGATTTTTCGCAAAAAAATATTAGCGCAGTACACTGATGAACTTTTTTCCCCAAATCTAGACTTGTATTTTATTGAATCGGTCTAATTGAGCGTTACCCCTGCTTCAGACCAATTTGTTATTTTTACATCTTGTAGATTTAAATGTTTAATTTGGGTAATATTTCTATATTTTTCATGAAAAAAATTATTAGCCCAGGAGACTGTTCTCCAAACCGAGAATCGTCCTTTCCTATAGTTTTAGAAACACTACTGCCAACAATATATGACAGCATTTAGCTCGTGAAAATTCCAGTTTCTTTGGTTATCAGAAGGGGTCGGGGTTTGTTGAACATGCTTATTGCTTTGATTGATAACAATGGGCTCTCATGAAATGAATGGTAAGGTCAAGGGTAGATTTTGAAAAAGGGTCTTCATTTGGCTGAGTATTCAGCTAATTCACCGAAGAAATCACTCATTTGAGGACAAATCATGACGCCAAAAGATCCACAGTTCTTTTTCATTTAATGCTTTACCAGTTCCATGATCACAATGTCTGTTGACTCCCACAGCACATCTTAACCCTTTGGGTTAACACAACTAATAAATTGCTAATCTCCAACTAGGTTTTCACCATATTTACTTTTCTGATGAGGAGAACTTCTGTGAGTATATTGATTAGTGAGTTGGTATTATAATACAATATGTTGCTACATAGAAATCTTCTTGTGAGAACAATGAAAAATACCCCCCCCCAAAAAAAAACATACTCACACATGCCCCAAATATAATCATGCTCGTGTGATGAAATGGCAACAAAACTGTTTGACTTCAACAAGGGGACATTCTTCACTTGAATAAACAGAGGATGGAATGTCATATCTATGTAGCAACACAAGTATACATGTACATACTATACCATAGAATTGAACTGGAGAAAGAACTAAAGCTAAGTTAAACCCGAACCTACAGATAGTATAAGATTCCTTATGTATAAAAATAATAAAAACCTTAATTTCCATTGAAGAGTGGTTTGAAGAGGTATAGGTACCATCCCTACCCTCTTCTCCCGGATTAAACCTTAGGGTTGGCCCATATTGAAAGCAACCAGAATCCTCTGAAAGTTAATAATTGCAACTTTCATGAATAATTAAAGAGCATAACAACTGCATGTACTGTATTTATGAATATCACATGTTTGTGAGATTCGAAGCAATTTGATTGGTTAATTCTTATGCTGCATGACTGCATGTTTTGTATCTGAATTTTTTATGCATGGTGGCGGCTTTCGTATCTGCGTCTGCATTGTATATATTACCATTACACATTTTATAGTCTAGAGCCATATTTTTATTTCAAATTCTATCAATAGACACTACTTGACTCATTCACATGCACTTTAAGTATATATCTTCATTGTCTTTGTCATATAGTAATCTTGTCATATAGTAGTAATCTTATAAAGTAGTACATGTAGTACAGTGTTTAAAAGATAATTTCAATGATGTAACACCATTTGACTCTAGTTCAATATGTATGCCTTATAACTCATTTTTATTTATTACCTATAATACCCATTGTGTTATACATTGAAAATGATGCATTCTGATTGACTAGTGGATGTCACATGACTATCCAGGGAATACCTCCTTTGAATGTCTCTGACATCTGTTCCTAGTTATTTTTTGATTAAGTTAATTAAGTTTATGAAATAGTAATCAATAAACAAAATACATGTGTATAGAAGTATTTCTAGTATTGTGCAAGTTGGGTGTGATGATAATTCTTAAACAGGCAATGCGCCTATTTTTGAAGGAAAAAGGACAAAATATTATTTGAGACATGTCACTCACACAGTCAATCAAATATGATAAAAACTTTTATTTGGGATAATACTGGTGTGAAAAAAAAATTACTTGCATAGAAAACAGCATTTGAAGTTCAGAGATTGAAAAAAGTGAATTACCACTTTTCACAAAGTGTATGTTTTAAATAACTCTTGGATTAAAAGATGGCGTATGCTTGAAAATCCTATCAAAAATGAATGGATAATTAATGCAAACAACAATGCCATCTTTCTATCACATTGCTAAAAACTTGACATATAAAAATTGATAGATCAAACATATTTTTTCATGATCTAGTTTCAATTCTGATGTGGTCTGTTTGAGCTGTTTTTGGTGTCAAATGAAAGATCAGGTACTTATTTATCCATTGGAAATACTATGAAGATTTAAAGTGAGACTTCATTTACGCACCTTATCCCTTTAATTAGTAACATCTTTAATTAACTCAAGGGATAAAAATACATTAATGGCTGTATCCTATATGGTCATTTCTTAATTCATGCAAAGGTCATTTAGATGTTTTGCTTGCATATTGGGGAGGGGGGAGGGGGAGAAAGAAAAATCCTCCATTAATTATTTTGTGATTATAAGTGCTATTTAACCAATTGTGGAAACTGCTTCTTGGCTTCTTATGTTTTATTTCTATTATCTATGCTGATGGGGCTACTTTAATTTTGTGGTTTTAGAGACCTAGCTCAAGAAAACCCCAAGACGATGTTGGGTTATACTTATTCTGTATATAATTTAATGTAAAGTAATTTAATTTGTGCTTGCAGCATCTAATGGCCGCTATTGGTCGATATCAAGTGACGGCTCCATTACTGCAGAGAGTGACCAACCACACGCTTTCATCTTTGAGTTCCATGGCTATTCAAAATTCGCAATAAAATCTAACAATGGAATGTACCTTAAGGGAGAACAGAATGGACTCTTTGGCGCAACTGCCCGAGAACTCAAATACGCCACCTTGTGGGAGTACTAGAAACTAGCATTATTATTTAGAGTGGAGACTCAACTCAACTATACTAAAGGAGTGTATAATATGTGGGTCCCGTGGAGGGCAGCCCTACTTAGTGAGAGTATGAAAGGTTACCACTGAGTGGATTTGGCTACCCTAAAAGTATACAATAAGACTTGAGAAGTAATACACCATCAGAAAGTATAACATCAACTAGAATTATCATATAGAAATAAAGTCCATGATAACAATTATAAACACAAAATATATTATTCAGAGAGGACATTGATTCATAAGCTTAAAAAGTGCTTAGAAAACATCTCGGTTGCATTACTGTAACGAAGCGCAGGTGTCATTAAGAATTACTAGAACCGGAGGGCATTAATGGTGCCCATAATAAATGCATAATACAATAAAGTCAACAATCGACATCTGCGGGCAATATGTACGAAGATGTTCAGAATCTCATTTAACAGTTCAATGTGTTGATTTGCTTTAAAATATTGCATGCATGCACGTTGTAGCTATGAGGTCAATATGATCTCTAATCATGTACTGTAATGTCAAGTCATGTGATATGATGTCAGGTCATATATTGTGATGTCAGATCAAATGTTCACATGTGTACTAATACAATATATTTTATAGCCCCAGTTAGGGGTTAAGATTGTCACAAAGGAGACATTCAATATGTACATCAATATACATATATTTACACATGTACTGAACTTATATTATGTAAGACATTTTTTGACTTGACCTTTATTAAATTGTTTATGTTTAAATGTTTTGTTATGGATCAGTTAGCTTTTATATATAATGTAATTCCATGTCCATTTAACAAAGTGCTACATAAGGCTAAAGTGTCATTCTCAAAAAGATTTTATGAATGAACAGTATAATAAAAAAATAAAAAATTAGTTCAGTGTAAAATGCAGTGTTAATTACATGTAATACTTTATAGGTCACAATATAATTGGAACTGATACCAAAGTAGTCTTGCTGTTGCTTCAAGTCCCTTGACCCCCAGGTAGTGGGGGGGGGGGGGGTTCTTGAAGCAAGACTAATACCAAAGAGAAAAAACAATCTAATTGCAAGATACATTGTATTCCTTCATAGTCTGAGGTAATATTAAATTCATTTCACATTGAAACCTAACTCTTTCCATGTGATAATTTGCAAAGTGTAATATTAATCCATGTGGCTTTGCAGAAAACAATTTCTATTTATTGTCCTCTCTGTATATACGAATCCTGCATAAAGGCAAGAAACATTCATACCAGAATATGTATTTTTGCATGACAATGTTTGTGAACATTTTAAATACTATATTACACCAAGGCATTATATTATAACTAACCAATGTTGTTCAAGAGGAAAATGTACATATTTGCAATGAAAAAGCTATTTGTATAAAATAAACAAAAACAAAACTATACTTAATTATTATGTTAACTTGCTCTTTAATGTTCTATTAATAATCCAGTTCACTGCACAACTCTATTTACAGGGTGGGCCAAACAGTGTTGCCCATTCTGATTGTACAGTACTATAATAGGGGTAAAATCTTTTGGCTCAACCAGCAGTTGCCTGGCGATTACCCTTTTGGTTGAGTGTTTATTTAAAGAGCATCTTCAATACTTTTTGGATAAGAAATAATTTGTTGATTTAGCCTAACCCATCAGATATGGTTTATTGAAAAATACAGTTTCAAAACCAGAATTGCATTTTTGCAGACTAATTTTTTCTGTTTTTGTGTGTAGCTGGCACTTCATGCTCTTACTCTAACCCATGGGAGGCCATGACTGCAACTTTGGGAATTTTTCCAGCTTTTAACATTGTAATTGTCCATCCTAGTCAGAGGCTAGGAGTGACAGTGTTCCAGGGTAGTTGAATTAATTGAGCCCACTTCTTGATGACTGTATAAGGAAATAGTAGCAGGAAAATCTATATTATTAAGAACTATGATACATTCATATTCTTAGAAGGAACATTTAAAATCACACAAAACAAACACTTTACTGGATACCTGCCACTTCACCATTCAACCATGGAATACACTGGATGAAATCAATCCAAAATATAAAGCCTTTTATAATACATGGCATTTTATGGCCAATTCCCATAAATGATTTTATAAAATAGCTGGCATTTTCAATAACAGTGTATACCCAATGTCAACAACTACTGGCAACATAACCCATTCTACCAGCATCCACTAGACATATGCCAAAACTTAACATGCATGTTTACATGCCAAAACTTTTTCTGACTGGTTACATTTTTTCCTTCTTAGCTTAAAAAATAATTTAAAGGAAATGAAAAGGAAATATTTGAATTCAAAACAAGAGGACAAATGACATTCTCTGTGTATGGTATTTCATTGTTGTTGTATCTTACTCTTGAGAGTTTGAAGTTCATGAGAAAAATCACAAACGGTACAATGATATTCATGCAGTAACTGGTTAAGGCTATTACTTTCCTAACTTTGGCAATCAAAATCAAGAAAGTTACACCATACCTCAAACTGGGGATAATAATCTAACCTGGCAAACTTTCAAACCATTCAAAATGATTAGGGTTTCTGTTTGCCAATTTTTCCAACTGCATACACAATGTTTCAAGGTCACTGAAGGTTACACAAGTAAATTACAAGTCATAATATTGCCTCTTTACTTATACAATGTATCCTAGAGAAATCAAATTCTACCATTCATATTCAAAATGTCAATAATTTGAGTGCCAACAGCAGGCAGAAGTAATACTCTACTGTGAGTCAGATGATCTCCCAAGACTCATGCTTGATGTATAGAGTTTCATATTGTAGAAATGAATTGCAGAAATTATTCAAAATTTCCAATCTAATGTATTATTTACTATCTTAATATATTATCTCCCAAAAGACCCAATTATATCTTACCAAACCGTGAAGTTATCTAAGATTCAAATTGGGAAGCTACTCGACATATTTACCCTCTACCAAAATCCTTTTTCCAAACAAGCAGGCCCAGACTATTACTATACTACTATACTATATATTTCAAAACCCCAAATAATTTTATCAAAGAGGTTGTGGATTGAGACAAATAAACTTTCTACATTCTGACGTATTAGTCTTTCTTTATCTAAAGCTTGTGAGAGTCTATTCCACAATGAACTTTCAATATGGTTACTCTAAACACTAATTACACAAATAAGTTATTGTTGACACCACAAATTCTATGATTTATAGAAAATGTCATAAATTGGATGATTTGCTAGTATAGTTTCCATACAGATTCAGTAGTTGAATATCAGCAATTTCAGCAAATTCCAAAGTCATTACCAACAAATAGAATCTTGTAGAAATTTATTGATTACAGTTTGAATAACATTGATACTGGATGTCTCCCTCCCAAGACATAAAATGTCCAACTTCTCATACTATTTCATGGCATTTCTTTTTTTAATTTGAATGAATTTCTGATTTTCTTGCATTTCTATAAAATTCAGCATGTCGACTAAACCCTAATTTATTTTACCAGTCATTAATTCCTCCTGTATTGCTTTATTCCATATTTTAAAAGACAAGATCCCGTGGGATTTGTTCTTGATGTCTGAGAGTGGATGACTCAGGGATGAGCCTCATCAGATGCACTATCAGATAGTTTCCCTTTTGGATTAATATTAATAATATCACTATAAGCGTGTATGCACTTCAAGCCTCTGTCACCTTGACATTGTGTGACACAACTTTAACTGTATGAATAAATCACACTTTCTGCTCCCACATATCAGGGAGATTGTAATTTATGATAATCATTAATTGAAAAATTTAATGTTTTGGCATTGATGTTTGTTTAATGCATGCAGATTTGAATTGTTTGGTTTTTAAATGATAACCTTTGTGCATTGCTCTTATAAAGAAAATGTGATATCTTAATGAATTGACATTACAATTTACTATACATCGCACACATGACAGTGGCATTATACTGTGTTAAAAACTAGCCACATTTACAAATACACATTCATAGCAGACACATTACTCAACAGTAATAATTATCAAATTAAACGAACCACCTTGCATTAAATAATTAATTTTATGGCTATTAAATAACAATTGATAAAGGAATTTCTCATACAGTCTGGTAGATGACTCCGTGAAAGTGGGCACCATGAGGCATTTAGGTTAAGGGGTTGTCTTGAATTGAGAAAATTCTTGTGGTTATGGTTTGAACTGTATTGCTGACAAAAATGATTTAATACTTAGACAGTCAGACTTATTAATGTGATCTTAGAACATCTATTAAACCTTGTTTAGTCTCAATTTATAGGTCATAGCTGAACTCCTTATGGCCATTTAATCTAAAACATTAACAAGGAGAATGGTCAAAATCACCAATTTTTCGGAAATGTAAGAATTTTCAAAGATTTTAGCCAAAATTAGAAAGAGGCTCAAAAGTTGATGATTTTGCTCAAAGCTGTACTAACTTTTTTCAACTGCAAGAAGATATGGCCAATGTTGACAAAATTTTGAAAAAGCTTATTTTTAAGTTCAAATTTTTGAATGCAATATTAGGGATACAGTGACATGAGGACCTCTATCCCCTTCTTTCTACAGGCCTGAAGATCAGAAGTGAAAGATGTCATGATGAGACAGCCAAACATTGTTCAACTAGTAATGAGAAACATTGTTCAACTAGTAATGAGACACAGTAAATACACATGCAGGAGAATTATCATGTCTAACCATTTTTCTTGCCAACAATTTGAAAATTACAACTAATATCCTTCATACCTCAATTCCATTGAGAAATCTCAGATTTGTTAATGAGTTATTGAGGCTTGATGAGGTAACCACCCAAGCCTGAGGTGATCTAGTAAAACCTTTGACTCTCTGTACTACACATTGTAACATCCTGGTAACAGATGACAGCCAGGAAAATACTTTTGTCAAATAATTGACTTATGTGTATATATGTTATTTAGACAACAGTGGTGTCATAAAATAAGGTCATGAAGTATTTTAAAGGGTCTAACGAATGTCTAAAAGGATCCTCTGAAGAAGGAACTTTGTGTATAATACTGTAACCCTGTAATACAGAGGAAGGCCATGTGCCTTGATGTGTATAAACTATACCTGTGATCATCACATCTATATATTAATATACCATTGTCCATTTTGAGCCCAAAGTAGGCCTAATTGTATTCAGAAAATGGGTCTTTGGAAAAATGAATGTCACTTTTGAAAAAGGGCCTAAATTTTCCCAGAGGACCAAACTTTCTAAAGACCCCCCCCCCTCAATTTTAGGCCCAACTCTGAATAGAATACAACAAGATGAAGATACCCAAAGCATTCACAAGAATAAAGCCAACACATCTACTCTGTTTGACCAAAAGCTAGTAAACCTAAGACATGTGAAGATATTTTGGTCAATTAATAGTCTCAGAGGTGTCAGTGTCTATTAACACATTCTCATGGTTGATGAATGATCTGTTTCATTATCTCTAAGCTAAGATTGATGCCTTATAATGTAAATACAGCATCCAGCCTTCCATCTCTTGTTAAAGGGACATTGCATTATTAAATGGCAATATAGACTACAATATAGGCGAATATTAAATATAGGCTACAATAAATTCCATGAAAATATGGCATGGTGACATTAGTTAATCAAACTAAATCAAATGTACACTAAATTTATATATAAAACACTGTCTGTTAATTTCCAATCAGTCAAAAGTAACTGAAACCTGCCATTTGTTACAGATGCTGACCGCCAAATGCCTAAAGCCAGCTGAACACCATCCGCAAAAAAGTTGGACTATAACAATATGTCACCACCAGGTGGTGACATATAATAGCTGTGGTGGGGACTACAAGGACCTGTAAAGAGAACCTCTTACGAATATTTCCATGTTTACAAATAACAAGCCCCTTTAAAAGTTACCACAATTTGACTCCAACCAACATTGAAGTATCAATGTAGAATATCCATAGAATTTAGTAACTAAATATTTACAAAAACAAACACATTGCAGGTAAGCATGTAAAGAAGCACAGTATGTGAGGTTGTTGTTATGTCTTAGTGGCAAACTTTCAAAATATGTTCCTTCGTGGTATTTCAATATAGCATAGACCTGTAAATCACTGGTTATGGTAGCTTTGCAGTAAGGGGCAGGAACTGGCTATGTATTAACATGTATTAACATTGTATAGCAATATATATCGTTATACTATACTGTCTCTCATTGACTTACATGTAATATATTCAACACACATTGTTGATATATTAGGCTCTATAAAATCTTACCAGCTATACTTCTACAGATTTTAGCTTGTTTTAATGCACATTGATATGAATAATCTGATTTTGGTTCTGTTTTTGACCCTTGTTTTTAAGGACTTCTGCCTCGTTGTGAGAGAAGATTATTGTGGAAATTTTTATATGTTAATGCATACGATTAAACCCATTGAATTCACTGCCATCTTTTAGCTGCCCTCAACATCATTACCTAGACAAAACTAACAAACATCAAACCATGAAAATGTTTAAAATGAAAAATATATACATTCACAAGCATTATTTGAATACTCTTCCAAGTAGTAAGTTACATGGCAAATTGTTGAACCAAACCATCTGTCCCCAATCCCTAATGCTAGAGAATCCTTGTTTGTTATTTGTCTCAGTTACATCTAGCCATATGTGGCTCAAAGATAACAAACACAACACTTACAACTAGACACATCTCATCACAGAGATATTGCAATCAGCACCCAAACCTCAAATATCTGGAAACATAAGAGCATGTATGAAAAATAGATTGATTGCCCCAACCCCTCCAGGGGCTGACCTGGAATTGAAAATTTGGGCTCATTTTTCAAAAAATGGGGACCATTTTCTAAAAAAAAGAAGTGTCTTGTCCAAAGCCCATTTTTAGGTTACAAAAAGGCATGAATAAGTTTTTTGTCAGATTTTTCCTTGCAAAAGGTAGAACAAAGGTCATAACAAAAACAAAACTGTCCAATGACCAATATTACAACAGATTTGAAGCAGATAAAAAACTAAGACGAAAATGTCTGTCATATCCTGTTGATCAAAAATGCCATCAAAAATATCATGCTAACAAACCATAGACAATATCAATTTGTATTTTCACATTCCACAGTATAACCAGTCAAGCATCTCACACCACGACACATGTACATTGAAATATGATGACTAGACTACAGAACACAGGAGGTAGTGAACCAACACTCTATTGAGAGACACATGACACACTTTGACCAATCAACTTATCACCTTGACAACTGATTATTGGAATAAAACCAAAAGTCAGTCTGTGATACATGAACAAAAGATAAAATTGATCTAGTTTCACATGATGTGATAGAACTGTAAGAATTTATACCCCAGACAGGTATAAAGTTACAAGTACATCTGATTACAGGATTCGTGACTCCTGCACAAATATTAACAACAAAAACAAGGAACCCTCAAAACCACAGAAAATTTGTATAACTTAATTTCAATAACACAATTTTTACATTTGAAACACATTTTTTGTAGACAATTCCTATCAACTAAAAAGCCAAACTTTGCCATCAATTGATAACCAGCATTTGAAAGACAGAATTTAATGTAATCCAACCAAACAAAAGTATCAGGCAAATACATCTGTAGGATTCTTTTTACATGAAACAAACACTTCTATATAAGTCAATCACTTGCACTTCAATCACTTGCATTGCATAGGCCAATCACTTGCATAAATCACCTCTGTAAATCCAAATCTGTCTCGATAAAAAAACAGTCAACGCCTTACATCTTTAAAAGTTTAATCTCTCTGGGCAAACTGGTGAATTTCAAGAATGCATGGATATCTTAGTCAGAAGTCTTGGAATGTCCAGGGAGGTCTTAATCTACAAGGTCCTTGCCAGAAGGTAGCGTATTTAATCAACTCTATCAATTAGTAATAAGTAGTACAGTAATTAAGAATGAACTGATCCTAACATGGGTCATCCATAAACACACTGAAATATTTCTGTATAGTGAAAGTGAATACATTACCCTGATTGTCAGAGCCTATAGCATTAGGCTCCAAATAAAAGAAATATACTCTACAGTTTTGATGCCAAGAAGATCTTAATGACCCCAACATTTTCATTATAAAAGGAATTGCAGGTACATATGATTATGAAAGCATATAATTCAGTGAATACTATTTTGATTGGATACACTGTAGCAGGATTTTGATTGACCCTTTGAATCTCAACTGGTGGTTGATAGTTGAAGGCTACAACGAAGGACAATCTCTAGCTCAGAGTGTGGATGAAGCTCTCTTTTCAACTATTGGAAAGGGTATGATGACATCAATTTAACACTTTCTACAAAAACACAATTGCATATAATGGTGTGTTATATACAGGGTGGTCCAAAAAAAAGTGAACCCCTGCAACAGGCTACATTTTTCTTAATACATGCATGAATAGGCTCATATTATCACATGTTGTAGAGAAAGGTCTAAAATTTTGGTTGATGCCATAATTTATTCTCAGTCTTAAATTTTGAAGAAATTACAAGCGTTTAACAAACATGCCTGGAAATTAGATATTGTACAAAATTTTACAAATGTGATTCACGGAAATTGTTGAAACACATTGGATGATCTTAAACAGCTTTCAGTTAGAGATACAAGTTTAAAACCCTACCATATGACAAAAGGGACACTATTCAAGCAGAAAACACATTTCACACTTTCATTGATTATTTTGAAGCATTTTTAACTGTTCAACAGTTCAGGGGTATGTTACCCACACCAACAGTTAGAGGGGGGGGAGGGGGCTCTTATTGAAGGAAGTTGCCCCCTGTGACCAGGAATCTGATAACCCCTCCATCAAATATCTTTAAAATATCAAAAGGAAATTCAATATTCAATGTTTTGAGCCATATATCATTAGAATTGGTCCATGATTTATGAAGATATTGACATTTCAAGATCATATAGGGGTATGCTCATGATTTCACTGGAAAATGTTTTCGTCTGTGGAAGCTTAGCACATCTCTTTGGATCACAATAACTTTGCAATTAACAAATGTAGGATGCTATTTTTAAGCCATAATGTGCAGGATTTAAAATTCAACAAAGTCAGAAAATATTAGTTATTTAAGACTGCAGCTTAAAAAATTCTCAGGGGAAAGGTGTTTAAGGGTTGAAAAATCGCGGATATTGAAAATCACAATTTGTCCATTTTCAGTAATGTTTGGTTAGGGCTTATGATTTCTGCAAATTTCAAGATTAAGAAAAATGTATGGTACCAACATAAATTTTAGACCTTCCTCTACAACATGTGAAAATAAAAAAGAATTCCTGCAAGTAATAAGGGAAATATGGCCAGTTGCAGGGGTTCACTTTTTTTTGGACCACCCTGTATAATGTCTTCCTGAAAACAAATGGTGTGTCTACTGTGAGGGGAATTTCAGCTAGAAAGTCTTGAAGATTTGAGCAGAAATCAATTCCTCCACCCCTCTACTCATTTTGTCCAATTTATGGCTGTGAGAACACATCTCTCTTTACCAATGGTTTCTTACTATTAATCTACGTAAACATACAAACAGTATAAGTATTCCAGTTACACGATATTCCTATCAAGCCTAAATCCTCCCCAGCTATCAACATGTTAATATTCATTATATAACACATGTATGTAGACATGAGTGAGTTATACAGTTAGTCAGATTAAACTGAAGGCACCCATGGCTCTGTAGAATATATAGCAATAATTAAGGGTGGTAAGGTATAGATAATATTATACAGAATATTCCATACTACCAGAACTGTGACATTAAGTTTTATGTTTATATGTCTGACTGTGATTGAATGTTGCAGGTGGAGATACCCTTTGCATTCATTCTACTTCACTTCTCAAAAGAGAGCTTCGTCTTCACTCTCAGTTTTCAATAAATCTCTGAACTTACCGAGTGGATCAAAGATCGTCGTTGAAATACAGACAACTTTCTATGTGGTGTCATTTTCTCTGATGTCATTGCATAATTATCATGCATGCATTTACTACTTGTTCCTTCAAGCTTCTGATTGGTTGGGAATAGGCTAGCGCGGTAGGTGTGAAATAATTTAAGACCCTAGCTGTCACGGGCATCGGTCGTGGGGGTGGGGCTTCTTAACTGTAATATAGTCTATACTAGGCAGGGGGTAGTTTATAACTAGACTCTGCATGCAGGGTAAGGTGGAGGGGGCACTTAGAGTGTTAGAATACAAGTTGAGCTTTGACACAAATCAGGATATTCCTCAAGGGTACTTAGCACATTATGTAACCTCTAGCTCTAGTGTAAATGATGCTTCTAATTACATGTAGTACTATTGGTGTTGTTAGTAGCCATGAAGTCACATTATTGACACAATGACGACCTAAAATGATACTCAATAGTTTTCCAAACCCCATCAAAGGACACATTTTCAAATTCTATCTTAGTTTTTATAATGGTGCTAAATTGATATGTCTAAATTGGATCATTTAATAATTTATTAATCAGACCAGTGTCCATGCTTAACATTACAAATCTTATCCCCAAATACATACTTCCTTGGGATATTCATCTTTCCATCAAGTACATCTACAGATAGATAAACACAATAAATGTCTTTATTCACCATTTCTTATTCCGCTTCAAATTATGTTATGTACAATCACAATTACAAAGTATGTCAAACAAGATCCTTTCAAATATATTATTACAATTTGGAAAACATTTCAAATTCTTCTCATATCAAAACTGACAGACCTTGAAATGAGAACTGAAATGTATTTCAACTTGCATAATGACTGCATTCAGAACTTCATTTATCTCTCCTTGGAGAATGAAACTAAAGTCCTTATTCTATTGATTTAACCAAGGATTACCAAATAAGATGGGTCAGGTAGCTGCAGGCGCACTTTGAGGCTGCATGTAACCAGGTAATGGCACCTGGAATCCTTCCTTAGCCTCAAAGAATGTGTACGAAAGTGTAATAGAGTCCACATTTTCCATCTTTGGATCTTCCGCAAACTCTGGGTCTATGTAGAAGAAAACAGGCATGTCAACCTGCAAAGAAATGAGATCATTAAGATCAGGCTGGCCACTTGGTATATGCTCTGTATCTAAATTCTAATCATGGATTTGAAAAAATGGATTTCAATCTCCAACTGACTCAATGAATGTGACCTTTATTTGTACGCAAGGGAACAGCTATAAATTCCCTAAAATCTCAGTGATTATTTTGTTCCATCTCATCAAAAATAATTTCATTTAAAGGCTAAGAAAATTCTAGATTGCATGTTTATTGCTTATTGTAATTTAAATGTCACATTTAAAAGATGCCACTTGAATTTGGTGACCATCTTCTTGTTTTCTAAAGTGTAACTAATTTGCAAGTTTTTACCATTATGCGATAAATATATGATCTTAGTCAAGTGGAACTCAAGGAACGCAAGCCACAGAGAAATGAGTCACATATGGTACTATTTCCGGAATGGTTAGATAAAAGATGCCAATCATATTTAAATGGAGAATTTCGCAAAGAAAACAAACTACACTGCAACAAAAATATTTCTTTAGCAATAATTTCATGTCCATGTTCTAAAATGTCCAAATAAATACAATTATAATCCAATGAACTGAACACCTTGTCAGCTGAGTTCAAGGGCAATATTACAAAGGCAATAGTGAACAATAATAGAGCTTGTACTTAAAAACAGAATCATACAACTATAATCTTAACAAACTGCAAATTATTGTTAATAATCTATCTAACCCCATCAACGGCTGTACGGATAAATAATTAATATGAGGAGACCCCAGGGACCTATGTTTCTCCATTACAAGTACATCAATGCCATAATATAATGGTGCACTGTACTGTCTTTCTAGTACCTACCTGCTCATGGGGGTTCAGTCGCTGCTCCTCAAAACAGAAACACTACAATATAAAGTAAAGCAGTCATGAATGGAAACGTTCACATTAATTTAATGAGAGAATTAACGCATATTTATAATCACAGCAGATAGTTCAACAATATAGAGGTTCAAAACAGTGCTGCCATCTTTCTAAGATTCTCTATTCAATATGATTTTATTTATGAAACATGAAAGTGGTAGTCTAGTTTCAAACCCTTGTGACCCCCCACTACACACCCAAACAAATATTTGAAAAGGTGTGTAGTCATGTAGAGGGAGGAGGTCACAGGGGCATGTAGCTAGACTATGAAAGTGGACGTTAAGATTAATACAGACTGCACCCATACTTTGAGTCAAAGCCAAGAAAATGGAAAACACCAACTTTGGCAAAAATATAACTTTGCAGAGTTAGCATTGTTTGAATTCAGACAACACATATTTTATTACAACAATTTAAATGACTGATTTGGGACATTATAATTGAAATTTGATCTAATTGTGCACATGTAGATGTAAATTTCATAACAGGGCAAATAACATATATGTTTATAGGTAAAAACTGGCCTATTTCTAAAAATCATCAGAGAAAAAAAACTTAATAATGTTAAATACCTGTATTTTGTTAAAGTAAATTCCAGCCTCAAATGGTAATACATTGTATGTTGAGATACCCACGATGGGTTTGGCTGTTGGGTTGGTAGCTGTATAAAATGCCAGGGCAGTTTCTCCTGGCGCCACCTATAATTCAGTAAGGAAATAAATGAACAATCTTTTTTGCCTAAAAGCTATGAAATGCAATCTTTCAAAATATTTTGAATTAGGAGCATGTTAGGGAATACTCAGTAATGCAACTTAAAAGTTGCAGATTATAGTTTGGCTCAAAGTTCATTCAGTTTGGAATTTGGTTTTCAAAATGAGCCGCAAAACATATATTTAGTCTTATGTAGTAATTAGACGTGGACTAACATCAATTTAACAAAAGCGAGGGATAGAATATAATGAATTGTGAAATTCCAAACTGTGTGTATATTCTGAAACAATTTTATATTCTCTAAATTTGAGCCAAATTATAATCTGCAATTTGACTTAAATGTATGTTTAAATCAAGAAAATAAAAAACTCTTACAGAATTCAAATACAGGCAGTTCCTCCATTTTGCAACTTTGACGTTACATCAAACTAACTAGAGTGAAACCTGTAAAGTGGAACACTTTTCAGAGTCCCAAGACCAACTGACTTAATGTTAAATGAAACTACAAGTGGAACACCTCTGAACTGGACACTTTTATGAAGTACCAAAGGTGTCCACTTAAACAGGTTTTACTGTAGCTGGGGAACAGCATCCTGATAAACCATGACATTTCATTTCTTCTCAGCCCTGAGATGTTTCATGTTTCATGTTTCAGGTGAAACAGAAAGATGCTATGAGTATCAGAATGGGGGAACAGTGACAAGGCATTAACATGACAAAATGTCACCACCTAAAACAATTTGGTCAATTTAAAGCAAGTTGGAAAATACCTTTTGACCTTAAGAAGGTTTTTGAAGATTTGAGCTTCTGGGATCTTGTTGATGATTTTGAAAAAAGAAATTGTTCAATCTGAAGCAAGTTAAAAAAATCTATAGTCAGATCTGAGAACTTGTAAAGTCAAATTTGAACTTCTGAAAAGATGTAGATGATTTTGAAAAAAAAAATTGGTCAATTTGAAGCAAGTTGAAAACAGACCTTTTTGACCTTTTTAACCTTGAGAAGGTCATTAAAGGTCAAATCTAAAGTCAGATTTGAATTTCTGAGAACATGTAGATGATTTTGAAAAATAAAATTAGTCAATTTGAAGCAAGTTGAAAAAAGACCTTTTTGACCTTTTTTGACCTTGAGAAGGTCATTGAAGGTCAAATGTCAAATCTAAAGTCAGATTTGAATTTCTGAGAACATGTAGATGATTTTGAAAAAAAAATTTAGTCAATTTGAAGCAAGTTGAAAAAAGACCTTTTGACCTTTTTTGACTTTGAGAAGGTCATTGAAGGTCAAACTGCAAATCTTAAGTCAAATCTAAAGTCAGATTTGAATTTCTGAGAACACGTAGATGATTTTGAAAAAAAAATTTAGTCAATTTGAAGCAAGTTGAAAACACACCTTTTTGACCTTTTTTGACCTTGAGAAGGTCATTGAAGGTCAAATGTCAAATCTTAAGTCAGATTTGAATTTCTGAGAACACGTAGATGATTTTGAAAAAAAAATTTAGTCAATTTGAAGCAAGTTGAAAACAGACCTTTTTGGCCTTTTTTGACCTTGAGAAGGTCATTGAAGGTCAAATGTCAAATCTAAAGTCAGATTTGAAGGTCAAATGTCAAATCTAAAGTCAGATTTGCATTTCTGAGAACATGTAGATGATTTTGAAAAAAAATTTAGTCAATGTGAAGCAAGTTGAAAAAAGACCTTTTTGACCTTGAGAAGGTCATTGAAGGTCAAATGTCAAATCTAAAGTCAGATTTGAACTTCTGAGAACATGTAGATGATTTAGAAAAAAATTTAAGTCAGTCTAAACAGTATTTGTTAAGTTATAGGAAGTTGTAAGAAATTGTTACAGACGATGGACGCCAACCTGCAACCACCAACCGCCGTCGCAAAAAAACGGAGACCATAACAATATGTCACCACTTTTGGTGGTGACATGATAAATAGTGGACCTACCACAACAGAGAGTTGTTGAGGTTTAAAGTTCCACCTCATACTTGAGGCAGTGTCCGCATTAAACCTTATCTTGATCTGTCTGTCCTCTATGGCAGCCATTGTCTCAACTTTGGAATTGTCATGTCCAGCTGTTGCCTGACCTCCCAATCCAGTAGCCTAGAATGAAAAAATATATGCCATAAATGTGACACAAATAGGATAGTAGCTAGAGGATAGTGAAGTACGAGTGTAAATTTACTCTTGAAACATCAGTCAGGGAGACTTCTTTTTATCTTTTTTCATTTCATTTTTTTTATTAAAATCAATGTAACATGTTTACAGGTTGTAGTGGCTATGACCCCCAAGAGGAGTATTAGGTGCCACATAGAGCAGCTGTAAATCACGATGCTGAAGCTACAACTCAACTTGTTATTTTTGAGGGGACCCCATTTTGAAATAATACAAGAATAAAGGAACACATTTTTAATGAACATAAAATGGTGTTTATTATCTTAAAATATTGCCCTAGCAATTATAGTATGTGTCAGATAAAGTGGCTAATTAAGCATTTTTCAATAGAAATCTTAATAGAAATGTAAAATACAATTAAGCTTATTATGTTATCACAATATTAATATGACAGCAACAATATCTCAACAATAGTGAAATGTTCAACTATTTAGAGATGAACCTCTTAGTTAAACAGGCAATGTGCCTATTTTTGAAGGAAAAAGGAAAGATATTATTTGAGACATGTTACTCATACACTCTATCAAATATGATAAAAACTTTAATTTGGGTCAATACTGAAGTACTGAAAGAAATTACTCGCATAGAAAACAGCATTTGAAGTTCAGAGATCAAAAGAAGTGAATTACCACTTTTCACAAAGTGTATGTTTTTAAATAACGCTTGGATTAAAAGATGGCATATGGTTGAAAATCCTATCAAAAATGAATGGATAATTTATGCAAACAACAATGCCATCTTTCAATGTTGTTCCTTTAATGCATGAATTCTGGGATATTCCCACCTCTTTTTCCTCCAATTATTTCATAATATTGTTCCTTGCTGGAGTATGTGATACACTAAGTGAGGATTTATCATACATCATTTTACTACAGTATATAACATCTTTCTATTTCCGAAGCAACATGCTATCATGTTATGACACTCATAAAACACTTCACAATTGGGCATTAATTTCAAATAGATGCAACACCCACTTCAGAAGATTCATGATAGCATTGGGAGATTTTCTCCAGTTTCTTTTTATCAAGATTGTCCTTTGTTTGGAGGAATTTTACAAGTCCATGTAAAAATCATAATTCCTAGTAATTATATTTGCCAGTACATGCTGTTCTTTTGTAAATGTCACATGTCAGAAATTCTTGTTAACCTCTTGACTACCTAGAGTGACGAGAAACCACTGAAATGACCTTGAAACCCAGCGTGACGAGATAATCAGTCACAGAATTTTTCATTAAAATTGTCCTTAAAGAGCCTGGAATTCAAGAGGTTAAATCTTAGGCCTCAATGCTGGGAGATTCCTTGTATATTTCATTTGTATACATTTTAATTCCATCTGGGACATCCATATTTTCTTTCTTCTCAATATTATGAACACCCACATCAGCAGGAGTGTGATAGACATCAGGTGGAGTAGTATCTTTACAATCAGCTATAATACTGTAACCAGCATCATCTGTTTTTGGATGAATCGTATCTGATTTTGGACGTTTTGTCTTAACATCAACTTGAGCGTACATATCTTTCGGTTCTGTCTTTTGGTACATATTAGATGTAAGCAATGGCATACTGACACCTTGGTTCACTTCTCTTTTGTTATTATTGCCAGTGTGATGCAACTGTACCGCTTCTGTAGCATATTTACATCTGCTAAGTTCGCGATATGAAAAGATCAGCAGAATCAGTAGGATAATTGAGATGATCATGAAGAGCACCATCCCAATGATGAGTCCAATAATCATTGCAGAACTTGAAGAAGGGATGAAACTTGGATATTTCTCACACATGGTGTCAGATGGGCAAATATTATTTGATACCAAGAGGTCAAATCTTATTGCAGCATAGTTGTCCCAACATTTTGGGTAAAGACGTATAAACCTCGCATCAAATGGTTTCGTAAAGTTCCGACCAACCGCCGTATCCTGATCCCTATTAGCAGATAACAATTTTTCTTTTCCATCATCTTTGAGTGTGAGGAAGTTTATGTCGCCATCTTTTCTGTAATGGAGTTTATAAACTGTTGTCCACTGTTGTTGATCATGTCGCCCTTTTGTAACAATACCATATATGCACATTGTTTTCCCAAGATCCACCTGGATCCATTCTGTTGTTGTTATGGGATTTATGTCTCTAGGCAACCATGCACTTGTACTATTAATTCTAGCATATTTTGCAAGTGTCCCAAATGAAGATGAGTTGAACTGACCATCAGAGATATATTCCATAACATAGTAAGGTTCACTCATATCAGATTGATCTGATGTTTCAACAGTACGTCCTCCTGTCAAGATGGTTGTCATAACGATCACTCTAAACATATGCTCCATAGTGAATGTATTCTTTTGTAACTAGTATACTAGATACACAATATTTATAATTTTTAGTGATCTATAAAGATTTCCTAGAATATAGTTTCTTTTTAAAATGTAAGTATGTTTTTACATGACAAAACAAACGTTATATGCAGTTATAAGTTTTAAACTTCCTTGTTCAGCTCACTATTCTACCAATCATTGTTTTAAAATAAGTCACAATAATTAATAATCATTATTTCCCTATTATAACCCCTATCTGCCATTTGATTTTCCTATGAGTAAGCTATTACTGTCAGTCTTTGTAAACATGTTTTTTGAACACATAAACTCTCAAACACTTGACATATCCAGTTTTCTACAAAGATATTATTTTATCAACATTAGGATTTTTGAATAAGGAAATTTAAATTGCCTGCCTATTCAAGCGAATGGTGTTTAGAGATCACATCGGCCTGTTTAGAGATCACATGGGCCTATTTGCATTCGTTCGACTTCACTTCTTAAAAGAGAGCTTCGTCGTAGCTAATAATTTAGACTCTGCACGCAGGGTAGCCTATAGCATATCTTATTTCACATCCATGCTTGTGCTGTTTTGCTTGAAATATTAAAGGGGCAACAAGGACTGTAGAGAGAAAATTCAAAATTTTTATTTTTTCTGAGCTATCAGGTCAATATTTGGCTAACATCTTCTTTGACATACCTATTTTCTTGAAATGTATGGATAAACTATCAATTTCAGCATTAAGAAGTGTAAATTCAGTTCAAAGCTTCTATAACGGGAGTCCCACTTATAGATTTTTAAAATTCACCACGTTTCAAGAGGAATATCAGCTGAAATTATGTTCATCCAGGGGGTTTCTTTGTAGAAATATATATATATAATATGTCAGTCTTGATGAAATATCCAAACTTAAATATATATTTTGACACTGGTCGATGATTGTGGAATGACCCCTGCACTAATTGTTGCACCCTTTTAAACATGAGATATAAATTGTAATTTAAAAACTTTAAATAATCAAGTATTTCCATAGGACAATTAATATAGCTCCATCAGCATCTCTGACTTTACAGAAGTGAACTTCATGAAGAGAAAATTCTTCAACATTGTCTCAATGGAAATTTAGCCTGAAGTTTTTCAGAAATAATTGCAATATGCAAATTAAATACAAGAAAATTACTGAAAATTGTTTTGACCTTGATGGTTAAAATCTCCTAAAATCCCATGAAAAACAAAATATCTATGACTACAAAGCTATACAGTAAAGCTTCTATCCTAAAAGTATAACCTAACTATACTGTAACTATCATTTTTGTTGACCCTTTCACAACGATAGGCTCCATATGCAGTTCTATTATGTAATACCTTTCAGGACAATAGGCTCCTTTTGGCATCATTACTTTTATTTATACACACCAATGAAATAAAAATATCTCCAGTTCTATTCAGTATTTTGACACCAAATTTTAACAAGTTGTTCTTATGTGATAATCCTTACTAAAAATTGTATTTCAGTGATGAAATTCAAGGTATAGGTTCCGGGGCGTAGGTAATTTGGTGTTTTCTCCTAAAAAACGCTCTTACTTATCTGTCACCAGGTACAACATTTTCCTCTTATATTCACGTCGGGAACGGGTTAAACTACAGATGTTTCAATAAAGGAAGACATCATTCTATATGTACAGTAAGTTAAACCTGTCTTAGTGAACACCAGTCTTAGTGAACACCTGTCTCTAGTCGACAAAGATCTTGGTTCAACCATATTCTTACTATCTTTTAATCAGCTCCTTAATTACCATTATGTTATATTTTATATTTTCTTGTGGAAACATTTAAAAAAGTAGTTGTAATATAATAATATTCACTGTTATAGCGGCTTAAAACAGACTTAAGCAAATAACTACTGTGGACAAAACGAATATTCGAACATGACTGTATTCACGCCTTCTAACTGTAAACAAAGTCAACATTTCTCCCGGGGTATATTCACGAACAATACCCCTAGTAATATGTGCAATGTGTGACGTCATAACTGCGGGTCGTAGTAATGGCGGATCATAATGAATATTCAAAACATTTTGGTGAGTTTTCATGTTCGAATTGTAACATAGACCTCAGAGCAGGTGTAATATCGTCAAATACACCCCTAAGGGCTAGGCACAAAAGCTTTCGAACCCCTCACTCCCTTCGGTCGTTCGGGGTACAGAAAACGTTTGTGCCTAACCCTGCAGGATGTATTCGACAATATTACCCTTGCTCTTCGGTCTATATTTCTTAATTCAAACCCTCAATGCCTCAATAACAGGATTCTTCAACTATTCACTGCATGACTAGTATCATGTAGATCTATCAACAATTTGACAATTTTTTTTGTTCCTTACTAGCATAAACATATGAAAATGGATAATGGGGAGGACCTTTAAAATGCAAGACATCACTGATTTTGACAAAATTGCTTTAAGTGAGTTACAATTTAAAGAATATTCTTACCTGGCAAAACATCCTGTACAATGGCACTCCAGCATATGACATCCCTAACATAAAGATTCCAACAGCGCTGATGTATATGAGAACTGTCCTTTGTAACTCTTTGTCAGCCTTCCCTCCTAGATTCCTCACAGTAAGAGCATGGATTCTTGGTACATTGAACCCAGTCAGTTTTGGATTTTTTTGTAATGTTGAAAAACATTTAAAATTTGATTTATAAATAGAGTTCAATCGAGTACATTGTTGTAAAGTTTGTTTAGATGTTACTCCTATGCTGCTATGTATGTTCTTCACTAGATTTATATTGAGTTTTTGTATTGTGATTTTGTTCACAGAGGGTCCTATGACTTGTCTTACTATATGCCCTCCAAGTAAAGATAGCCTAGAAATATACATCCTGCTTTGTGTTATGAGGCACCCGTGGTATAAGAAATCAATCTATCTGAAAGTAAATACAAAACAAATGACATTAAAACCTTTTTGATCAATCAACAGTGGCTTGAAGGGCTAATTCCTTGCCAGACAATTTCTCTCCTAATATGGCAGCTTAAACCATGTACATACTTTCCATGTTTGTTTAGCAAAACACAGGAAAATGTTTTGATATGGTCAATATTGATCATTTAATGCAGTGCTTATTATTTCCAGTAGGCTGCCGTATTTTTAGAAATCTCGTACAGGAAGTGATAATTAATAATTATTTGTCACAATTTCCCACTGAGCAAAATCTGCATCAGTCAATAGAAATGTCACAGAACAAAAAAATCAGAACGGTTCAGTTCGGAACATTTGGCTTCGGAACGGAACAATTTCGGAACGGTTTGGAACAGAGTGACTGTGTGTATTAGATTAAAATAATTTGATCATCTAGGTCTATTTGGTAGCGAAAAGCTCTTCAAAGAGAAGGAGTAAAAAGAATGAACCTCTTTTGATACAAAATATTGAAAGAAAAATGCTGTTTTGTGGAGATTCAAGGACCAGAAGTTGTGAAAGGGTAAAATGTTCTTGTTCCGGAACCGAACCGAAATTCTTAATTTTTGTTCCGTGTTCCGTTCCGAGGGCATAATTCCGCGGATTGGAACAAAATCAGGTATCCGTGACACTTCTTTCAGTCAATACACCATCTAATCAATTCACATGATATGATGAAGTAAACACGAAGGGGCATGAGTTTGCTAAAGTCCATTTCACTTTTTTCACTGTCAATAAAACTTAAGAAATTAGCAATCAAAAGACTGCAGTCTGCAGTGTAATAGCATATGGAAAATATATTCATACCTGCTTGCACCCAAATAAATAAGTTTTATGAGCAATAAACCCATGATTTGCAAGGAGTTACAGATCTTATAATTTAGGGTGTTTCAACAGTGTTAACATTTTCGAAAATAACATGACAGAGAAGCATGTAAGAGGGGTTTGTGCAAAAAACTGGGTGACCAGGTTACCAGGTGACTGGGTACCTAACGTTCCTAGCAATTTATGAATTTTTTTTTTCATTTCTGTTTAATGCCCCAAAACTTTCAATCACTCGGGCAATCAATTAAGTCACAGTTACCTAAAAAACGGCAATTAACATGTCAATATACACATAAATGCATTTGTCACGAGTTTGAGCTGAAATTTCGCCAAAATGAAGTAGGCTAAGGGTAGTCTCTGCCAGGATTGTTTATTGTGGTAATTTTGTAAGTGCTCAGAAGCAAATAATTCATGTGCGCAAAATAATCAAATAATCTAATTGGTTTAAACTTTGCTGCACATGCGCACAATGTGTGCCATGTTTTTTTCTAGTGATTTCGTTTCATGGAGTTTGTGTTTCAGTGTAACTTCCGCAAAAATGGCGGACCATAGACAGAATTAACATTTATTTGTGCATTCTACCTATCAGATATAAGAGTCTCAGGGGTATGTAGGCAAATTCATTTTGGTAGGAGCACTCTGTTTAGTTTGAAAATGCACCCTTTATTATTATATATCAGCACTATAACTCCTTACCTGCATCAGACTTACATTATCAGCCTTTGAAAAATAGACTTATCCGAATAGACTAGGTGCTAGTAGAAATAATCTTGATTTACGTCATTAAATATTCAAAATTCAGTCAAACTGATGTCATATTTGAAATCTACGTGTAAAAGGACTTCCAAAAATGGTTTCGAAAATTATTAATCAACTTTGAAAATTAAATTTGTTTTAAAAATGTGACTTCTAGTTCGGGTTGATTCCCCCATAGACCCCATGTTACAAAATCACAAAAAGTGAAATATCTTTTCTTGTATTGGACAGATAACATTTTCCTTAACTGGACATATTTTAATGTTCATAACTATTAGATACATGAGGGTTATATGAAAGTTGAACCACTAAAACAGATATAAGTTAAGTTAAAGGGAGCTTTCTACTATACCCGCCATGTTATCTGACCCAACGAGTCTCCTGGTGGTGAAATTGGTTACTAGAGTCCATTTCACTGCTTCATTGCGTCAGTAGAACGGCAAAAATAAGAAATTGGGAGACCATTGTGCAATAATATATGGAAAAGTATATTCATAATGTACATGAATGACATTTGTTTATTTCAGATTTTTTAGTTTTTTGTGCAATAAGCCTGTGCTGTCTTGTAATTTGAAGAATTTCAGCCATGTTAATCTTTTTGAAAATAACATGGCAGAGAAGCATCCAAATATAAGAGGCCACACACTTTATAAGCCAAACTAGAAGCAATCCAAGATATACAAATGTCATTCATGTACAATAGGAATATATTTTTCCATACAGTATATTATTGCAAAATGATATTTTGATTTCTTATTTTTTAGCTTTTACTGGCACAGTTAAACATAGTCCAACAACATTAGACCTAGCCTGGGCCTCGTTTCTTATCTGACATGTCTTATGGCCCCGGCTAGGTCTAACCTCCATGACCATTTTGCCCTTGATGCGTTAATTTAGTCGTTCAGCAGGTTCCGACAAGCGGAACTAATTAAACTCCGAAAACATGCTAATATTACATAAAGAATGTGATTCAAGCATGCATACATACCTTATAAATACATACACACCATCCCGTACCCCCCTTAGACCATATTGATGCATAATTACGAAAATATTGGAGACAGGTTTGGAATTTTACGAAAATATCGGTCAGCTCCGGTAACATCGAAATTGCAAATCGTATCAGGAATTAACCGTCATTGCGACACTGCATCAACGAACAGTATAGGTTTGCAATTAATAACGATTTTGTGTGTATACAAGCGCTATATAAATCAATCAAACATACCTGCTATCTTCAAAAATGGTTATTTCAGGCCTGTCAACTGTCCCGCAATTTGCGTATTTGTCACGCATTTGCTGAAGAATTTGAAGTCACGCCAGTTTTTTTTGCGTGACAGAAAATGTCACGCAAAATACGCATTTTACCTGGTAATTGTCAAGCAAAAATATTTCTGTAGAAATTTTTTCGAAGATACGGTAAAAATACGAACGCCGGAAAAAAACGAACGCAATTTGTTCGGATTTGTCACGCGAATCCCGTATGTGTCACGCATGTTCATTGGAAATCTTTCGTACCTACCCCCCCCCCCCCCCCCCCCCCCCCCCCCCCCCCCGTTGACGACAACGCGAGCGTAGCGAGCGCGAAAAATTTGAGGTGTTCAAAGTTTGGCAAAGGTGCTCAAACTTTGGCCAAAGGTGTTTAAAAGTTGGCCAAAGGTGTTCAAAATTTGGACAAAAGTGTTCAGATTTGGACTTAGGTGTCCAACATTTTGAAGTCACTCATATTAGGTGGTCCCAAGTTGACAGCCCTGTTATTTTATCCCGAGTAATCGCGGGATAATTATCAATCTATTTGACAACAATTTCGTTTAAATAGTTTAAATTTTAACCCGGGACGAACAGACACAATGACGGACATGCGGAGATGTCATTTTAGAGATTGGTAAGTTTAACCTCATTTTACTTGTATAAATGACCATTTAATACAATAATATTGTGTTGAATCGCTTGATGTTATGTGTTTTTATATTGTTGTCAAGTATCAGTTGCATGTTATCGCAGAAAAATGGTTTCGGTGGATCCAAAACTTGCATCAATGGAAAGAATAGTAAAGAGGTTAAACTCAATAATGGCCCCAAGAAAATTCTTAATAATAAATAACGCCGTTATTGAGTTTAACGATGTTGAACTAAGTTAAACAGTGAAATGGACTCATAATGACCCCAGAGTCAGGGCTGAATATTATAATAAAAGAATGATTGTTCATGTGCTTTTGTTGTAAGATGGAGTCAGAAGCAGCTTAATATGTGGGAATAAAAAGAAGAAACACAATGTTTTAGAATCCAAAAATCTATTTAAAATCAAACTTAAAAATGAAATCAAAGTTTACAAAAGTTAGCAAATAATATGGGGAGAATTTAAGTCCAATAAATAAAGCTTACCCAGCCTTCATTCATGTCAAGATTTATCTACAAAAGAAATTTCTGCTGGTTCCAGTTCCCAAAAGTAGCATGTGCTTCTTAATTGAAAAACATGGGCCAACAGTGGGCCAGTCTATAGGCTTTATCATTGGTCAGAATTTGGTCACATGACCAGATCTGAGCCAATGAGAAAATAGTAAATTAAAAATGAAACTAAACCGGAAGTGAGTAATCCAGCAGAGTTAGAAAAAAAGTAAGAGCTTTATGAAAAGTAAAATATGTTTAAAAAGACTAAGATTTCTCCCTCTATACATTGAAATAACATGATTAAACATCATTAAAACATCAGGAACAAGTTCAGTAAGTACTAAAAACAATATTTAAACAAAGGAATGACCGGAGGTCATTACAATACTCCCCCCTTTAAAAATAAGTCTGACCCCAGACTTCCTTTTAAAGAGTTAAACATATATCAAATAGAAAAGTGAAACACACTCACACATATACATGAAATATACATGTCAATGATCTGTCTCTGAAAATCGAAATATCTACATATTATAGTCTCTATATGTCTATCGCTCTATATGTCTATATGTTTATCGGTACTATTAACATATTTACAGTCTGATCTTATCTATAAGTAAAGTTTATATATCGTCCATGTATTCTGGATGTGGTAGACTACGTCGCTGTTAATCTTCCATTTAGGTTGTATCGACACTTCAGACATGGATACATTCTTTCACTCTGGTTGAGGATTTCGATGCTTGCTCCAATCAGGCAGATTCCAAAGTTGCAGTATCAGGCACTGGCTCCGTTGTAAGCCTCGTAGGAGTAAATAAGACATAGACTTGTCCTAAATTGTAGAGTGGAACATCAAATCTCAGGTTGCAGATTTTACATCCCAAATTGAAGTTATTGATATCACCTCAACTCAGATGGTAGATTTGGTACAATTATCTTGGTATTCAATCATCTTAGGAGTCTTATCATCCTGGGTATTCAATCACCTAGGGTATTCAATTATCTCAGGTATTTGATGATCTAAGGTATTTACTCATCTCGGGTATCTAATTAACTTAAGTATTCTATCATCTCTGGTTTTTGATCATCTTAGGTATTTACTCAGCTCGGGTATCCAATTAACTTGAGTATTCAATCATCTGGAGTACTCATTTATCTCGGGTATTCAATTATCTCGGGTAATCGATCATCTCGGGTATTCAATCATTTTGGGTATTTACTCATTTCGGGCATCCAATCAAGTTGAGTATTCAATCGTCTTAGGTATTCAATCATCTCGCGTATTTGATCATCTAAGGTATTTACTCATCTTGGGTATCCAATTAACTTGAGTATTCATTCATCTGGAGTACTCATTTATCTCGGGTATTCAATTATCTCGGGTAATCGATCATCTCGGGTATTCAATTATCTCGGGTATTCATTCAATCATCTCAGGTATTTGATCATCTAGGAAATTCAATTATATTGAGTATTCAATCAACTGGGGTATTTATTCATCTCAATTATTCAATCGTCTCGGGAATTCAATCATCTTAGGTATTCGATCATCTTGGGTATTCGATCATCTAAGGCATTTACTAATCTAAGGTATTTAATCATCTTGAGTATTCAATCATCTGGGGTATTCATTCTTCTTGGGAATTCAAACATCTCGGGTATTCAATTCTCTTGGCTATCCACTCATCTTGAGTATTGAATATTGAATCATCTCAGGAATTCAATCACCTCGGGATACAATCATCTTGGGTATCCACTCATCGTGAGTATTCAATCATCTCAGGTATTCAATCGTCTTGGGATACAATCATCTCAGGTATTCAATTATCTTGGGTATCCAATTATCAGAATTAAATCATTTTGGGTATTCGATCATCTAAGGCATTTACTAATCTAAGGTATTGAATCATCTTTAGTATTCAATCATCTGGGGTATTCATTCTTCTTGGGAATTCAAACATCTCGGGTATTCAATTATCTTGGGTATCCACTCATCGTGAGTATTCAATCATCTCAGGTATTCAATCGTCTTGGGATACAATCATCTCGGGTATTCAATTGTCTTGGGTATCCAATTATCAGAATTAAATCATTTTGGGTATTCGATCATCTAGGATATTCATTCATCTCAGGTATCAATCATCTTTGGTTTCGAATCCATCACAATATCACTTATTGCAGGTCTCAGATTCATTATGGATACCATCAAGTTTTTGGGCACTGAATAATCATCAGATCCATTGTTTCAAACATTGATTAATCTTGAATGGGAGAGTCAAACGCTACTACATTGGGCTAAAAGTTGACTCATCCCAAGTTACTGACTCCAACATCGATTTATTTATTCGTTTTGTTACACCGGGTCAAAAATTGATTCATCTCAAGTTTGTGAGTTCAACATTGATTCATCTCGGGCTGAATTTTTTTTGGACGTCACTACTTTTTTTTCAAATTCAATCATCGATTCGAATGTTAAATCAGCTTGGGTAACCTATATAGACAGCGGCTCATATAGGATTACATGTCAAACATGATAGGGCAATTTCGGACACAGCTCATCTTTACTGGCAGATTCGAGCATCAACTTTTCAAATTACATATCGAGTCACTTGCAGATTTGAAACATGGTCAGTTGAACATGGTACATACACATGTGCACAAGCTGTAGCTGCTTATATCGAGTTTTTTCGGTAACAAACATTGTTTGGGAATCAGTTTCTCAATTATGTGCTTTGTTTCGTCTAGCAAAACAGGGAACTCAATAAGAAATGACTTTTCTCACTTTCAACCTCAGTTTAACAACTGATTATTCTATCCCTCTGGTCCAATATGCATCTTTGGGCCAACTGGTTAGCTCTCAGTCAAACGTATTATTCTTGACATTGCTTTCTCATTTTATGGAGATAAGGCACTGTCATTCAGGAAGTTACGGACACTTCATATGTTGATAATGCAGATAAGAACAACTGCATTGGAGAACAGAGGAACACTTTGTTCATTAGTAATGCAGATTCAAACACTGACTTATGGGAGGATTCAGACACTTTACTCCTTGGTCAAGCAGATTCGTACACTGGCATTAATGAAGATGAGGACACTTCATTCATTGCTTATGCAGATTCCGACACTTGGATCAGAGAGGATTCGGATACTTCATTCATCGCTTATGCAGATTCGGACACTGGGATCAGAGAAGATTCAGATACTTCAATCATCCATTCATAATACAGATTCGGACACTGACATCGGGGAAGATTCGGATACTTCATTCATCGCTAATGCAGATTCAGACACTGACATTAGAGAAGAACCTGGCTCTTCAGTCATTCATAATACAGATTCTGACACTGTATTAGTTGATGCAGATTCGGAAACTGACATCGGGGAAGATTCGGATACTTCATTCATCGCTAATGCAGATTCAGACACTGACATTAGAGAAAAGCCTGGCTCTTCAGTCATTCATAATACAGATTCTGACACTGTATCAGTTGATGCAGATTCGGAAACTGACATCGGGGAAGATTCGGATACTTCATTCATCGCTAATGCAGATTCAGACACTGACATTAGAGAAAAGCCTGGCTCTTCAGTCATTCATAATACAGATTCTGACACTGTATCAGTTGATGCAGATTCGGAAACTGACATCGGGGAAGATTCGGATACTTCATTCATCGCTAATGCAGATTCAGACACTGACATTAGAGAAAAGCCTGGCTCTTCAGTAATTCATAATACAGATTCTAACACTGTATCAGTTGATGCAGATTCGCACACTGACATCGGGGAAGATTCGGATACTTCATTCATCGCTAATGCAAATTCTGACACTGAAATTGGTGAAGATTCGAACGCTTCGTTCATCGGCAATATGGATTCGGACACTAAAAAACGGACATGCTAGAAAAGCTTTGGACGAATTCAACTCACAGCTGTCATTGACAGGGAACCCCAACATCTCAACTGTATCTATGGATAATACACATATCTGGGACCCCGAGTCGACAAGAGCAGGAATAAGACTTTCAATCTGAGTACAGTTTCTGTCATACGAAGACAAACTTGTCTGTGTATTCAGAATAGGGGGCCTTTGCAAATTCTTTGCTGAGTCGTGACCCCCTCGCTCAGCTGATTTTAGTTTTCCGACAGTTGTGTCTTGCCTACTTGGATCGGGCAATCCATCTGCCTTCGACACTCAATCGCCTGGTCCTGTCGCTCATGTTCTACGGGAACATGCCATTCTGCAGAGTGTAAGCCAACACCATCAGTCCTGTTAACCATCCGGTTCTGGCAAGGGACAGCCAGTTCCTCATGATCAAACAAGACCTCAGACATCGGCATCACACCATCACATGAATGCGATCCTCTAAATCCACACAAGTTCCGGCTGGGAATTGCCCGTTCTTGCTTGTGGACTTTTGAGTGATCCGCACTCCCAACAACACCTGGACTGTAGGCCACCCAGTTCCGGCAAGGACCAGCCGGTTCTTCTGGGCCAAACACTCCAGCTGATGCAACCGGACACCATCGGGACAATCGCTTTTCAGTATACAAGTCCCGGCTGGGAACTGCCCGTTCTTGATACTGAACATCGGTGCCTCCACCTATCAAGGATTCTGAGTTCCGGCGGGGTGCCGGTTCCCAACCCTGATGGGCAGCTGACACCTTGTTACCTGCTGCCTCGTGCTTTCTCAAAAGCTTTGGCATGTAAAGCTTCTCAACATCTGACTCCAGCCCCCTCCACGGCATTGTGTCATCAAGTCCGTCTGGTCTCGTCTCACGTCTACCAAAGGAAGTCTCCCCATCAAACGAGCCGCAGGAAGATGGTAGAGGAACATGTGGGTATGATATTCCAATATACCAGAGGGGCAAACAATACAAATAAAAACACAAAAACATAGGGTTCGATTGCGTACAACGCAAAAAATCACAACACCGCTTGCCACCAATTATAATGACCCCAGAGTCAGGGCTGAATATTATAATAAAAGAATGATTGTTCATGTGCTTTTGTTGTAAGATGGAGTCAGAAGCAGCTTAATATGTGGGAATAAAAAGAAGAAACACAATGTTTTAGAATCCAAAAATCTATTTAAAATCAAACTTAAAAATGAAATCAAAGTTTACAAAAGTTAGCAAATAATATGGGGAGAATTTAAGTCCAATAAATAAAGCTTACCCAGCCTTCATTCATGTCAAGATTTATCTACAAAAGAAATTTCTGCTGGTTCCAGTTCCCAAAAGTAGCATGTGCTTCTTAATTGAAAAACATGGGCCAACAGTGGGCCAGTCTATAGGCTTTATCATTGGTCAGAATTTGGTCACATGACCAGATCTGAGCCAATGAGAAAATAGTAAATTAAAAATGAAACTAAACCGGAAGTGAGTAATCCAGCAGAGTTAGAAAAAAAGTAAGAGCTTTATGAAAAGTAAAATATGTTTAAAAAGACTAAAATTTCTCCCTCTATACATTGAAATAACATGATTAAACATCATTAAAACATCAGGAACAAGTTCAGTAAGTACTAAAAACAATATTTAAACAAAGGAATGACCGGAGGTCATTACACTACTCGCATCTATGTTATTCAAATTTGATATATTCTAGGTGGAGATATCAAGAACGTACTTCATTTTAAGTTCATAGCTTCATAAACATATGATATCATAGGCCTAGGCCTAATGTTATTTTTCAATTTTTGATGGTTTTTAATTTTCAATATAATAACAAACAAGAGACAGATCTAGACTATTAAGCGACAATCCAATACCCAAAGAAAGTGTTTAATCTAACCAACAAACCTTGGTGAATCCTAAAATTAGTTCCAGATTGTGCAAGAATAACAAAATTAATGAAGCAATTTCAAAACTTACAAAACCAAGATCTTCAAGGGCGCTGACATTTTAAATCCGGAAACATACGACAATGACGGAAAAGACCGAAGACTAATCTTAGATAAGTTACGAGTACGACATCTTTCAATGAATAGTGTTTCTAAACTTTATAACTGGTAGCTAGGTCCCCGGGTAGGTTGCGCCCTTCCTCTAAGGCCACTGTATCTAGAGACTCGAGTAAGGTCGCGTCACCCCATTCTAGAGGATATAACTTAGAGCAGGGGCCAGCAGTTGTCAAGAGGGTGCGATTTTTTGGGGTTTGCATCACTGCATTATTACAATCATGGCTCATGCACATCAGATGTATTCAAATATATTTACAATGGTACTGCACCAAACTATTCCAACTTAAAACCAAGAGAAATAAAGAAATTACTTAAAAGAGAAACACAAAATTTTGGGAAACTAAATAAAATATAAAATAATGGTAAATAGAGGTTTCATATTTATCGTAAATAATATATCACTAAGCCTAATAACTTATGGCCCATTAAAATTTTTGGGCCGAGTCTTTATTGGGCCCAATTTTTTCTGGGCCCACCCAAGGGCGTGGTCCCTGAGCCGCCAGATCAGTGCATGGCCACAGCGCATTTAATTATCTTCCTATTTTGGAATTTAGCGCACGATTAAAATCAAGAAAACTCAATGAAAAATTGATTGAAGTTTCACGATGTGTATATGTATAGTTTGTGACTGTTTAGTATAGTGTTTGGTGGATAAGTGACCGACTAGATACACAGCATATGACAATGTCACTGCAAATGATATTCAGTTGCATTAATAAAATAAAAGGAAAGTCGATCAATAGACTCTATATTGTTGTCATTCTGAACTATCGCACACCTCTATTGCTAGTCAATGATCTATTTAGTGATATTTATTACATTCATCTTGGCCAATTTCTAATTAGTTTATGCTATTAAAGGTGAATGGGCTTGTTTTAAACGATTATACGTAGTTAAGTTATATCTTAACTTGACATCTTAATTTAGATAGATTATGCAATGTTGATTAAATTAAAACGTGGGCACCCGCAGGGGCAGTGCAGCCAACATTAAATCGTTAAAATGCGTATGGTCTTAACAGGGTGCTGCTCGCATATTCATACAAGTGCAGCTGGTAAAAGGCACAGAAGATGTGGGAAATAATTAACAAATTATATATAGCATCTAAAGATGTTCTAAAGGATGTTAACCGAGGTAGTGGTTTGTGGAGGTGTTGATATACTTATCAAACTAATAGCTACCTTGCATAGCTACATACATACGAACATACGTAAGTTTACGTTCAGTACAGTTGCTATTTACGTACGATTCGGAGTCGAATTTCACTCGTATATTTAAGGTGATCTAAGTTTGCTTCAAATCTACCAATTCTCCGCTCAGGTGAATATTGCTTCGTATTGTTTGCCAACATCCTGCAGGCACTGGTATGGGTCCGATATGCTAGTAAACAGATTAAAAGGAAGAAAGAAATAAGTTAAATAGAATTAATGTTACTTATTTTGGAAGCTTGTTAAGTGCGGCATACAGATAAGTATAATACACCAAGGTTGTGCACTGTACATTATTGACCTTGTTGGTGGCATACATGTTGGATAGTGAGTGAACGAGGAAGCTGTTAGTTCAGGTAAGTTTTTGTTTACATTTTGTAAAGTGTATTTCACGTAGTTTTGAATGAAAATTAACATAATTATCTTAGATTATGGTTAAGAAGTCTCTGTTTGTAAACAATAATGTCCGTTCGTACGTTGTATAATGAGAAATATGAGTCTGCAAGATCAGTAAGTTGTTTCAAATTAGTTGTTCACACTTTGGGAACACGGACTTGCAGAAAGGTCTGACCTGAAGTACCTGAAGAATTGCCAAAGCAAATCATGCAGTAATAATATCGTTACAATACTTTTTTGAATGTTCATAAATGGGGCTACCCAGGGAGGGGGGGGGGGCTTTCGAAACATTACAGAGTGAAGTTTACAATTTTATTTACATGGGTTATGTTATCGATAATTATAAGACCTTTGTTTACTTTTACTATAGATATTTATAAGTGCAGGGTTACTTTGATTTCAAATGTCATTCACCACATAACAGAGCGAATCAAAACACCTAAAAACACCTTGAACAAATATGATATCAATGCAATCGATTCGAATAATTCGTAATCGTGCACTTAAATAGCTTGAATAAATAATATTAATAAAATTTTCTAACAATTTAACTTCACAAAAGTTCTTAGAATATACATTTCACCAAGAAGTATTGCGGACTGAGAGTCTTGTTTTTACTTAAAGCATTGTGAAGGCTTTTTGGAATTCTCAAAGTCGCGAGCTTTTACTATTCATGCTATTATACTCTTTCAGATAGAACACCAGTAACGGACAAATCACGTCATCAGCGAGATAAGAATACGCATCATTGCAGATACAAGGATACGCATTACTTAACGAGCCATCCATTTATGCAAATCGTACACTGAACGGTTCTACCCGTCATGCATAGTATGTTGCATTAAATCTTCCACGGTAATGCAGAGGCGTATTTAATAAACGATATATGTAACCAAATTCTTACAGACTTTTTTATTTAACAATCCACGAGATAACCAATCAGGATAAGATGTCAGCAAATTCTCCATTCACAATCAGTACCTCCTCTGCAAGCCATATGGTGCGAGAACAAAGATACAACGACAATGAGAGCCATCATTGCTATATACTTCATATCTCATTTCAACCAGTTTACACCCCTGAAGGCTCTATACCTCTATCTAGTTATAAGAAGATACCAAGAATCGTAAACGGGATTCCATTTGGAGCAGGAAGGACTACAGGGGACCAATCTATTATAAAATGGAGGTATATTGAAGGCGGGAAAAACTTTCAAACATTTGTCTCACTACCAATCTCATTGGAAGATGCAGAGGATACCAGGATGAGACTAAAAGATCGTCTGATAACTCAATCACGTGATATTTTTGCGGATGTAACAGTGCGAGCTACAGTAATGTTATCGAGATGCGTGCATTATGATGCGGACTTTTTGCTAAATGACCTTGCCGACCCATTGGATGAGACCCTGCATTTTCATGATTAATAACCGGTTTTTTTATATTCATGTATCTGAAAGCCCATGGTAAATTCAGGCCCGTAGCCAGGATTTGGCGGGGGGGGGGGGTTCAGTTTGGCGAGGGGGGGGGGGGGGGGGTTCAGTTTTCAAAAATTTCCAGTTCACATTTGACAATTTTGGCCCAAATGTGGCTAAAATCACTTGAGAAGTGCTCAAAATGGTGAGAAACTGCATGATTTTGAAAGAATGTTTGGCCAGGGGGGGGGGGGGTCGCAGGGTTCGGGCGAACGGCCTGGCTACGGGCCTGGTACTTGCAACTTTCGGTTTCTCCAGTGCACATCTAATTTATTTATTTTCCCCGGATATAATCGGGAAATAGTATAGGTATATTGTAAAGAATAGATTCGTGGACTTAAATTTACGCAGTATAATAACAAATTGAGAACCAATGGTTTTAAATGGATGACGTGGGATAAGACTTCAAGGTCGATAGCTAAGAAATAATAATTTATTATAGACCTTGGAAGGGATAAGCAACAATGGGTTTTTATGTGCCCGGGTGGAAAAGAAGTAATTCTATTTCAATTCAAGGACATACACAATAATTTTGCTAATGAAATCAAATTATTCTGTAATAGGATACAAAAATATATCCACTTATGGTTTTTGGGTTTACATTAAACTGTTTAAATAAACGTTAATGAGGGGATAAACTACTACCCCATGCATTGGCATAGACGTATATATGCATGTAATAAGTTTAAATGGTAGAGTGGATTATCTTATTGTTTATGAGTAACATAATGTTTACAATATCCTTATTTTAATAAGGCTGACGTTAAGTATCTAGAGAAACACTTTTATTTATTCTACTTTGTTTGAATGTAATAATATAATATATTTAGCTCTTCCAGCAGACCATGGGGTTTCAATTAGAGTTGAAAGCTCATGAGCAGACTGGTGAAAAACTGATTTTATTTAAAGATAGCCTTGCCTCAAGACCCTGGACCCCTCTATCTACAACAGCAACAGGCCTGTGTGTGTGTGGGGGGGGGGGGTGTCTTGAAGCAAGACCATATGAGCCAGTGATTTCCAGCTTTCCTGGCATGTTTTTTGTTATTGTTATCTAATGAATTAAACCTTCTTTGGATTGAAATAAATATGTTATTGTTATATAAATGAGAAAATATGTATTTGTTAATCATTTTCATTTATAGTGTCTCACATTCAAAGCATTATTCTCCAAAAAGGCAATTGAAAGTAGACTCATCTAGGTCTACTTTGATAATTTATTTCAGCTGTAGGCAGTACTTTTGACGAGTGGTGATGTTGTCAGAATGATCACTTTTTCCAAAAATGTTTTGAAATTTAAATAAAGTCTATTTGCTCATTTTTTGTTTGCCATTTCCTCAAAAGGAACCCTACTGGTGCATATGATATTTGACATTTCTATGTTGATATCTCATCTTTAATATGAAGCATCCCATCCTTGTACAATCACGCGGTACTAACTTCGACCGTTAATTTGAATTTTTGACCTACCGGATGTTTGAAAATCAAGGATTACGAGTCTCATATTGCATCGTTTTTCTTCAAACTTGTTCCATTCAAAGCATAACAAAAATCTCTTTCTGATGGTACATTATTCTCTTCAATAGAGTCCCTACTTCCAGCGGCATTTTGGTCCCCAGCTGTAAGAAGGCCTTCTAACAGCTGGGGACCAAAACGCTGCTAGAACGAGGGACTCTCACAATAAAGTAATGCACCGACAGAAAGGCAATTTTGTTTTGCTTTTAATGGTATAAGTTTGAAGAAAAACGGTGCAGTATGAGACTCGCAATCCTTGATTTTCGAGCATCTGGTAGGTCAAAAATTCAAATTAACGGTCGAAGTTTGTACCGCGTGACAATGAGCACTAGTCTGTCCCAACACACAAACTGGACCTGACAATGATATAAATCATAACCAGGTTGAATAAATTTAAATATGGCAAGAAAAGAACCAATATCTTATTACTACAGGGTGGGCCAAAAGTGCCACTTTTTTCAAAATACTTCTCTCAATTTTTGATCCAAAATCATAATTCGCATACCAAATGAAACTTGAATTAGCCACACTTTTACTTGAATAAAAGATGTCACCAGTGTTTCACTTAAACATGTGGTATTCCGTGAAAAATAAAACACTGAACACCCTGTATAATTATTAAAGTTCAAAACCTTTTAAAATTGACAAGAAAATTGGAGTTATAATATTAAGAATAAAATGTTTATTTTCTAATAGTACTGGATGTTATTACATAATAGTACATAATAAATTCATAATTAGAATATCATGTATTGAACTATTTTGTTCAATACTTTTGCATAATTGTATAGTTGAACTAATGTGCAAGTAAGAGACATGACACATGTACCAGTATATGTAATATATGTACCAGTATATGAAACACATATACCAATATATGAAACACATGTACTAGTAAATTAGGTACATGTATCAGTATATGAAATGCTTGTGTTGGCATATGACATGTATCAGTATATGAGATATATGTACCAGCATATGTAACACATGTACCATTTATAGACACATAAGTACCATGCCACATAATCAGTGCCAGAATAAAACACATGTACCAGTATGACATATACTATGTACCAGTATGACACATATGTACCAGTATGACACATATGTACCAGTATGACACATAATCAGTTCAAGAATAAAACACATGTACCAGTATGACACATATGTACCAGTATGACACATATGTACCAGTATGACACATATGTACCAGTATGACACATATGTACCAGTATGACACATAATCAGTTCAAGAATAAAACACATGTACCAGTATGACAATACTATGTGCCTATATGATACATATGTACCAGTATGACACATTTTATATACCAGTATATGTGACCCACATACAAATATGAAACACATGTACCAGTATGAGACATTCTATGTACCAGTATGAGACATTCTATGTACCAGTATATGTGACCCACATACAAATATAAAAACATATATATCTGATACTGTGATACCTGCAAGTTTCTTTCTAATTTGTCAATCATATACAGAATACATGTATAACAGAATGAAGCAGAGGAACATAGGAACACATATTGCAACCACCATCATTTATAGCAAAAACATGCAAAAGATAATAGAGAAACTGAAAAATATGGGCACTTATTTATTCTTAGTGTTCTTATTATAGCTTTTAAATAACATGATATGCCGGTGTTAGCTATAAGGCATGCTTGATTTCATTTAAGGGGCCAGGATGAAATGTCAATGTTACAATGCTGACATAAGCCTAAATATTATCACCCACTTTAATTTCGATGTTGTTTTAGCTCATTTATGAAGGGGGAAGGGTGTACTTGTTGAAAATGACAAAGGGCACTATTTCTGAGCTCACATGGTGTTTCAGAATACTCATTATTGTGATATTTCGATGACAAAAAAGGTCAACAACAACGCAGTGTTTTGTTCGAAACATAGCAAAAGTAGGTGCTGGAGCCAATGGTGTAAAACATAACCAGTGAAAACCCATATAAGAGGGATTCTAGAATAACTTTCCATTTGTCCAAAACTTGTTGACGAATGGAAGGATGGATGGAGGTAAAGACAGATAGGTGATTCAATAGGGTTACCATGTGAGCCAATTACTTCCAAATAAGATTGACATATCACTAGTGGCAAAGGGACCGCCCCATACTAAATGATTTTGAACTTCATACATAAATCATGACCAACATGTCTGTCCGGAGTACTATGGCTCTAAAAACCAACAGCTTCAAAATAGCATAAGGCAATGTTCAAAGGAAAAATTAAGAGGCAAAATAAATTGCCTGAAAAATCTTTATAAAGAATAAATGTTCTAGAAATGTTAAGAAAGTTTAGCAAAAGAGATAAAGGTTGAGCATTGAACAGCATGAACTAAATATCAAAGCTATGAGTTTCTAGAAGATCTAAATGACCTACTGACATACAGTACATTTTGCTTTAAGAGAAAGGTAGTACCATTGTTTGAAAGACACAAGTTGAGTATATGGTTGAACACTTTGGAATAAAATACAAAGTCTAATTTATTTATCAATACAGGGTGTCAAAAAACACTTTCCCTAGTTATGAGTTATAAGTAATTCTGATATACCAGTTTAGGGTTAAATTGTATTTGGACACTCTGTATATTCACTACAGAGCTCCTAAAAGGGTGGGATCCCCATATACATATGCTAAACTTGTAATAAAGGTGACAAAATCCCACAATGCATTATAGGATGTATAAACAAGTGAGTATGGCTTCCAACAAATATAACACTAATGATGTACATGTAATAATATTATTTAGGGACCTTGATTTAACATCATAAACAGTATACCCGAATGGCAATTTCTCAATTAAAAGTGAAATATTGAATGAATAAGTTTACCAATCATGATTAGCCGATTTCATGCATGTACTTATGAAAGAGAAATAATGCTCAGCTTCCCTCTGTGATATTAATCATAAGTTGCTGAATTTTTTATAGCGATGAGAAGGAATCATATTGAAAAGATTATTTTTAACTTTATGAATGGAGGTACTTGGGAAATGAATTTCATTGCTACATTTCAGGTACATTGAGAATGTTAGCATTTAATGGAAACCACACAAAAGATAATGTAATTTTTTAGAATTAAATTGCAATAACTACATTACTTTTAGTTTCTTCTACTTCTCAACAACTAAATACTAGTTTCATAATAATGCAATATAATAAGGCCATACAGATCTACTGAGTTGACACAGTGTTCTTTAAATATATTACATAAATTATTCGATATTTACAAAGATTCAAAATATACATGTTGAAGAGTAATTTCACAACAACACTCATTTGAGTTCTGGATAAAAACAGTATTACATAATTCTATAATACACCTTGTATCGTATAACAGTCATGAATGAATGCAACACATGAACTTATAATGAAAAAAGTTTATATTACATATGCTGAATGTAATGTTATGACACTATATGTAAGGAATAGTTTTTATTTTACAGTACAATCCAAGACAGTTGCTGAAATGGGGAACGTGCGATGTAAATATACAGACAATTAATTTTGATCATATTATTATTAATACTTAATTCTTCCTCCACTGTTTTAATGGATACTGATATTATTAATTAATGTAAGTTGATTGCCCATCGACTGTTGAATAGTAATGGACAAAAAATGGGTTTTACCATTCATCCCCTCAGAATTCAGCGCAAAATTATAATCTGATATTTAACAATAACATACTCATCAACATACTAAGGGAGTAAACATTCAACAATCTTCATATACAATATTTTTGAATATTCATTTCCAATGTTGTTGATTGCTGTCATAATGGTCAATATCTGTGGGAATAAATTCAAATACCAACTTGATCTGTAATGAAACAATAGTTTCAAACTTTTTCTCCAAGTAGGCCAATAAAACCTATGTTCATAGAAAACAGTTCAGTCAAACATATTTTTTTGCTTGAAATAATATAAGTACGGGTTCAATTCCAAATGTTTTACTGATGTATATTTAGCATGTTCTCAAACATAAGTTTTTCTCTTGAGTATTCAAGTCTAAGAATAAATCTCTAAACTACCTCTGCTTATTCTTTACTGTCACTAATATACTTATGTAACTTCTTTTTAGTTTCATTTGAGTCTATATAATATACTGTATATATAAACATGTCTTTTTTAGTCTATCATACAGAGAAGTTTCCTATGCAAGTTAAAGAGACCGTCTGTTACTGTGGTAACAGTCAATTTTGTTGCTAAGGTATCAGTCAATGAAACTAGCAATTCAAAATTTATAACTAATAATACCCACATAAATATTGATAATGGAAATGCTTTGGATATTTACAAATGATTTCCAAATCAGAAAAATTGCTAATGATATTTAAATAGGAATAAAATTACAATGGAGCATCAACAAGTATCAAGAAGTGGTATATACACTGCATGAAAGTGAAACACCTAACACTCGAACTGGCAATTCACACTGTGGAGGAACTCTTCAAACTGGTTACAAATATGGATCCATCTCGGTAACAAAATGGAGCAACCTCAGAGTCAGAGGTACAAATATTCTTTTTCCATGATTTTATGAGTTGCAGACAGAATTTTCATGACACACATTTGTGCAAAAATTGTTGTAAAGATTCTGTCTACATCTCGTGAAGTCATGGAAAAAATTGAACTTTGAGGCTGCTCGATTTGGGCTGCGATATGGGCCCCCCCCTTGTTGGTTCCTGGATCCACTCCTGGATATAGTGACCAGGCCACTTGAAAGTGCAATGCATGACTAACATTTATATTACACTTTTTCTTCTTTCACAAGAACTCTCATAGAAAATCTTAACCTATCATATCCTGACTAGAATGTAATATACTAATAATAACGAAGACATTGAAAGGAAGAAAATCCAAACAACAATAACTCATGTAATCTAAACATTGCCTTTGAACTCTCTAAATGATATTTTCAAAATGCAGTGATCTCCCCAGCATTTGGGTAACCAATACTATTCCCAGTTGAAACAGAAACAAGGTATTAACGTGCAAAATGTCACCACAAGCCATTTGTTACAGATGCAGAACTCCAAACACCAACTGCAAACACCATCCATGAGTTGGAGACTACAGTATAACAATGTCCCCACTTCTTGAAGTGACAGTAAAAATACTACCATGTTGAACATGTGTTTGCACCCTGTCAAAATGAGGAAATATTCAGATATCTTTTGTATGTGCATTCATTGGAATCTTTCAATTTCTTACCCTTTTAAATTTCAATTTGGAAACCACACTGTGTGTTCATTAGAGAGAGTAGTAGGTAAAACTAGGGTTTAACACCCTGTTGTGAAATCCCTGGTGAGATCACTGCACTCATGTGCTATATTAGACTTTTTTCAGTGAATATATATTCTTCTTATGTATCACGTCGTACATGTACACTATGTATCATCTGATCATAGTAATATCATGTTGTTTCATATTAGGACATCCTCCTAAGCAGGTATCCAGAATTCGTACCTCCTTCTTCCCCCTGCTATAACCAATTTGGAAGCGCCCGATTAAACTGAATCACATGATCTAATTATGCGCAATGACTTATACATGATTTTTGTACCAGTGTTGCGACAGCCATTCAGATTGTGAGTTCTTAATCGGGGAAATGCTAACTGCTTATCAGGGGGTAAAAAGAAAAAAGAAATATTCTGGATTTTGAAGCCCTGTGATGGGAGGATGATATTAGGCATACTTTGTATATTTGTGAAATAAACTGCTTTTCTGTATTGCACTTAAATATATGCACTTTTTGATTATAGATACGTAGTCATGGTGATATCAAATGATTAATTATGGCAACTCGACTACAGGAAAAAAATATTCAAGCAATTTAATATTAATTAAAACATACAGAAAATATGCTTAATATTGAAGAAATAAGTAACAGCAAAAGTGTAAAACTTGAATTTGTTTTCTTTTGGATGTTTCTTCTGAATTATCTTCATTAATGTTTTAATGCAACAAAGTGGCTTTAAAAATTGTTTTATGAGGTACTTTAATACACACTGTATCTTGAATATGCTCTGTTGTCAGACTGACAATAGCTTCACCACTGAAACACTTATCCAATAGCAGCCATCTTGGATGTACAGCAGCGATCATGTATGACTAGTTACTCCATCTATTACATTCTAGCAACACCATCTATATTCTGGTAGCTCCATCTATCTTCACACAGTCACAATATATTCTGGATTTACGAATGAGAATCCGGAAAATTCAGTTTGGTCCAGGTTCATGATAAATAGTTTATCAGTAGGTGTTAGCATAGGTTTCTCACTGGTAAACTCGCGGTCAAAATTACTAACATCCTTGCGGTTTTTCTGCAATTAAAAATAACAATGTTACAAGATTGTTGAAGTTATTTGGAAAGTTCTTCAAATATGGTACTTTTACAGAAGATCCATCAGTCACTGGCAATATGTAAGGCTATGTCAAAGGAATCTGATTCTTGTCTAACATTTGGTTCTTGCATTTTTGCATTCATTTTAAAGAGATCCAGCTTTTTTAAAGTGTATCTTGCATAATGGATATTCTAAATATGATTTCTTATTAAAAAAATGGAGAAAATGCAAAGCAAAGAATCAATGTCCTTTGACATAATGCCACATATTTGAAGATTTAACAAATGTATAATTCCTTAGAGAATATATTCCATAATTGTAATGTTTGAAATCTAGTGACACAGACTAGGTCACGGAGATACATAATCGTAAGAACAAAATCAACCTAAAAATTCAATATAACAGTAGACATGGTAGGTTAGTGTATTATTCTCAAATGCTGAGTTGCATCAAACCTAAAATATAAGCAAAAGAGTTTAACATAACACATAGCTGTCAATATAGAAAAATAATTTTCAAACGCTTCACTAATTTTGTTATTATAGAGTGCCACAAATCAAATCTGGTCAAATCATACTCGTTTATCACAGCAGAAGCGTAAGCTCCTAAAAGTTAGCACCCCCAGTAATGCAGTTTCAATATGGCCTGATATATGTAGTGAGTGCAACTAAACAGAAAACAATATATGTAGTGAGTGCAACTAAACAGAAAACAATATATGTAGTGAGTGCAACTAAACAGAAATCAGAGTTTTATGGGACAATGAACTAGTATGTCATGCAATTTGAACATTCAACATCCTGATGAAGAAAACTAAAAGAAACATATTCTAAAGGAAAATGAATTGAAACTACAGGGATAGCATATAGTCCTAAAAGCGAAGCACTACATCCCAATCTTTAGTTTTTCATGAAAAACAAATAAAAATTCACATAAATCAAAATAAAACAATCTTGATTTCGAAGGAAATAGATAAAGCTCATTGCACATGTCAGAAGACTTGATATAATACATTAAATTGAAATCAAAATTCATTAAACTGTAACCTGCATGATTCAAATTGTCAAGAGAAATAAGAATTTCAGAAAAATGTTACCTGTTTAATAGCTTGTTCATTTATAGAATTATTTAAATATACACATCTATAATTGATTTTTTCATAAATACACACTTCAATATATTATGTAAAATACATGCCCTTATATGGGCAAACTGTGCATAAGACCCTTAAATGGGTTAAATGTACAGAATCTTAGATGAAAAATACTTCACTTGTACAAACATGCTGTGCTATGCACTTCAGAAAGCTTATGATTAAAAAACAAAATATACATGAAAATTAAACTTGGTAAAGGAAATATATAAACAATGTTGAGAAATTCCATTTTTATGAAATATACTGATGATGATTGTTTATTAAACAATGATGAGCAGAATTCTTAAAGGGCAACATTTGATAGTAAACTGTCCAAATGTTTAGCCATTATAACTTAACTGCAAAAACCATATGAAAACATTTTCTCGTGTTTTGCTAAATATGTAAAGTATATATATGATTGTAGCTACCATATCAGGAGAGAAATAGTCTGGCAAGATAGATGAATACAAAGAATTTATTACTGAGAAGTTTTCATATGATAATAAATTGTTCCAAGTTACAATTTATCTATATAGTTTACATAGAAAAGGTCACATTAAAAAGATGGTTGCCATAACGATGAATTTACATGTAGTTTACAAGTTACAAAATATATTCATAATCAAGATGAATGACACGTTGATGACCAAGCACAAAATTGGAAAAATACTTATTTTTGATATTGACTTGACTTCCAATATACAATGCATTATCAGATTTCCAAAAATGAAAACAACAAAAAAGTTACAATGTGTAAACATTTTACATTTAGCTCTGACAAAGTGTAAAGCACATCAAGATTTACTACTGTAAATAACTCCTTCCCCGAACATAATATCAAAATGTTTAATTGGAGTAAAAGCTTGTTCTGCAAACAAAACTTTTATAATACAAACTGAAGTATCTAAAATAAAATAAAATAATATAATTAAAGCAATAAGTAAATAATAATATCACATAAACAAGGAAAAATAACATTTCCGATCAAATCTATCAGCTTTTTAATGAAGTTGTCAAAAGATTGATTTTGGCTCAAAACCCCCCACCCTTAAAAACTTGATTTCCAAAGAACTGAATGGGTGATGTTTCTTTTTCCCCCAGCATTAATTTAAGATCAATTTGAAATATAACAAGTCAGGGAAACTTGTTCCTTCTAAAAATGCCAAACTTAAGATGGACAAACAATTTCTTGAATATTTCAATATGTTGATTTTTGTTGGATGAAAAACTTTTTCGTTTCAAACCCCATTCCACTGTTCTTTTGACAACTTCACTCATTGGTATATTTATCTACAATAACTTGCAATTTTCATGCAGGCAATCAAATAAACAAAATAAATAAACATTTTATCTAAAAAGTAAATCTATATGGCAAAATCATTCCCAGAAAGTAATGCATACACAATATAACAGATCTTTAAATTAATAAATATCTATAAAATACAGCTATACTACACTACATATATAAAAATAGCATCAAAGAAAACTTAAACTAGTGTATTATTCTCAATTAAAACTAAATAATCAGCAAATGAAGCTTGAATACAAAGTGCATGTTTCCAACTTCATTTGAAGTTCTAGAGCATCCACATTTCCAACGAAGCTAGTTCTACCAATGGAGCATTCATAGTCAAGGCCTCCCTTTTCAAAATGCACTTGTTCAACTCTAAGGCCTCCCTTTTCAAAATGCACTTGTTCAACTCTAAGGCCTCCCTTTTCAAAATACACTTGTTCAACTCTAAGGCCTCCCTTTTCAAAATGCACTTGTTTAACTTTTAAGGTCATAAAACACACTTCTAACAAATAAAACAATCAAAAACAAAAGATAATGACGTTTTGAACAACCACTTTCCACAAGAGGACTCTCTACAGTACACCCCTTAGGAATCCCCAACCCAGGAATCCAAATACGTCCCACCCATCATGCACTTTGTATTGCTGTGAACATGAAAAAACTGCAGGTACATACACTGTACTATGACTGAGTGACGATATCAGTGTGAAACTACATTGTACTGGAGAGAGAGTAGAAGGGGTTCACGTAGGAGAAGCCTCTAAATAGGGCTCCCTCAGCATTCATTAAAACCATTTCATCCACAGGGGTAAGCTTCACAGCCGCCTTCGTAAACATTCGATCAAAATTCTCAGCTTTTCGGTTATCTCTCTGTTGATAAGAAAAAGGATTCATTAGTATGGAGTTTGGGATGTAATGATACAACAACGAGTTCTAGCTATTCTATTCTAACTATTGTTTTTGGAATCAGCTGGAAAGGATTCTGCTTTTAAAGCTTACATATAGGATCAATTAACATGTATGTATATGGGGATAGGTTAATTGAACCCAAATCAAATGTAGCAAAGCATCCAATGTGGCAAAGACAAGTGAACATTTCTTTTACAAATGTTAGAAGCTATTCAATGAATTTGAGTAAAATACAAAAATATTGCGCGAAGATAATGTCTAATATTATATATGCTTTCATGGCAAAATTTTTCTGTACTTTACGAGAATTCATATAAGCTTTTTAATCAATGACATTGGGTAGACCGTTTATGGTGTTTATATTAGATTTTCTACAAGAAACATAAATGTCAAAACATGTGAAAGGGTGATGTCAAAATGTAATATGAATTCTGTACCACAAAGAGTAAAAAAAATAGACAATAAATTAATATCATATGATGACATGAACCATAAAATCAGATCGGAAAAATTACACTGTAACTGAATAAAACATCATACATGTATCACTAAATTCATTTTGTTGTGGTTGGAATCCTTATGGTGCTCTTATGTCACCTATTAGTCTGGTTTATTTCTAAGTTGCTATGACTCATAAACTGTCACTTGTACTTTTATAAAACTTTCTAAAAACTCACTATACTGAGGTTCATTAAAGCTGTTATTGAATCTTTTCCAGGAAATAAAAAATTGAGTATACTTTTCGCGTTGCTCAATATATTATACACACATTCCAGAATTCTATTTTTAGTAATACACAGAATTTTGAGTTTCTAAAATATATGGAAAAAATAAACTTTTTTCACAGAATTTAAGTGTATCACTCCTCACGTAAGTTTCAGCTCGTAATCTGGGACCATTTCCTTACCAAAAAATATTTATACAGATGCACCACTCTAAGCGTGATACTGTCGTAACAGTGAAGTTCAATATATAATTAAATAAACACAGAAGGTATTGTAGAATTTAGAGTCTAAAATATTTCATGGAAATGATGATGCAGAACTTGCCGAATCTACAATGCAAAAAACTGGAATGTGTGATATACAGTGTATATAGTATAATTATGTATATTCTATTCTATTACTAGAATTAGTACTGAATGACAGTATACACCAATGAAGGGATATCAACAGTACATCATGTTTCTTTCCTTAGTACTCTTTTCATTGCTACGTCCATGTGTTAAAATTACCTTTTGGGACAATATACTTTGTATAATTAAAATAACCACAAATTATAGAAAAATTGTTGTCCAAATGAAATTCTATGGGGTAAACTGCCAAAGAAATCCATTTTAATTTTGCGAAATAAAAAAAATGGGAGAAAATATGTTACAGACCCCATCAAAATTAAAGCCTGTACTCATTTAGGACGCTGTTATATAACAGACTATAAAAGCAAAGAATGTTAAATTAGCCTCAGGTTTACCCCCTTTCTTCCTTTTTTACATGTACATGTACCTTGTATAGACCATGTACCTGGACAAGTAAAACAATGCACATTTTAATAGCGAATGCATTCTATATGACTCGAAAGCAGGGGCATATACAGCATTTGTATAATAAATCAGACAATCATTTTTATTAGGAATTTTCTAGCAATTTTTAAGATACACAATGAATTATGGATTGTATGACTTCATCTCTCTGGTACAATTAATCAAATCATATATGGTTAAGCTAAATATAGCTAGGCATATACATAGACATGTTAAACAATTTAGTGTTCAATTTAAGTATATTGTTAATAATATTGAGGTTAAGCTACACATTTTTAAGAACAGAACCTGTACACGAGCATGTAATATTTCAACCCCCGGGGAACTGTACCGCTCTCAATTCAAAATCTCTGGGACCCAATTACAATTACCTTCCGTAACTCAATCGGCCAAGTAAACACTACAAATGGGAGAACGAACCTATAGAGGACCATAATTCTATGTGTTCACGTACAGTTTTTTAAAAAAACATGTAGCTTAACTCTTTACAATATTTCACCACGGATACTCATTCTTACAAACACAATGCACATATTGAAAGATCAAGATATATTCAAAAAAGAACACAGAATTTAAACATTTGGTAAAAATGACAGCATTTGACATCTGATACATCTAGGTAATTGATATCAATAGGGTGTGCTTATGAAACACGTATGTGCTCATTTCAGGTAAGAGTGCATACATGTAGTTGTACAATGTACATGTGCAATATTTAAAATCCAACCATTGCTACAATACTCTCAACCATTTAAATCACATATTTACAGTTCTTTATGGCTCAACAATAAACTATCCATGGTGTGTAACTGTACTAAATTGACCCCGATCTAGGGATTGACACAGTGACTTCATTACAGGAAGCGAAATTCATCACGTGCTGGAGAATAGTCTTGCCTGTGCCCCTGAACCCCCATCTTCTCAGTAAGTCGTTTGAGAGGAACAGAATTTAAAACAAACATCTCTCGAGTCAGAGAACGACACCCACCAAAGTGCACTTACATAAGAACACCACTTTTACAACTCAGGGCTGGCTACATCACATAATACTTAAGAGCACAGGGTTCAATCAAGGTGTTACGAAGTTGAGGAAAAATCCAACATTTTTTTCAAATGAATAAAGAGAAACTTAGAAAAGTGCTTAGATCAGAGCTTATATACAAGACAGCTTTGTCACAAGCTTGAAAAAATATTAATGTTTCTTTTTCTGGGTTGTATGCAGGACTTAAGGGGACTCATCTCTAACCCTTACGACAATGGTGATGGTTAGAGATGAGTCCCCTTAACACACATATTCCCACTTAGGTAATCGCTAACACGTTGTGAATTCCTGTGCTCAAAATACATTCATATAAGTACAGAAGACTGATACCTGGTTCTGAGGTAGGAGTAGGGAACAAATAGTACAGTTAGGTATGGTAAAGGAGCAATAAAGGCTACCAATTGTAATTACACAGAAATACCTTCTATATGACCCTCAAGCTCAACATACACCAATGGGGCAAATACACATGCCCCATGGAGTTCCATGAGACTTTCATTCATGTGCCTTATGGGACAATGGTCAGGAACTTCATGGGTAAATGCCCAATTGATTCCAAGAGGGTCCCACAAAGGGCAAAGTTCCATGGAGTCCTATGCAATGTTAGGTGTACCGATGGTCCACCATGTTCCATTGGTGGATGTTGGGCTTTAGTCACCCTGATGTGGATTGACATAAGAAATACTGGGTGTCGTGTAATTTAAAAGTCAAACCAATACAAAGGGACTTAACGTTCTCTTACACAAATAGAAGACATAGAATACACTGGGTTAGCCATTCATATACAGGGCAGGGTACATTGGGATATTCTACACATAGGTTATATGCTGTAAATAGGAATATGCTGTACATAGGGATACATTGGACATAGAGGTGTCATATTGTACATCAGATACTAAAAACCATATCTTATTTGATGAATCAAAAACAAATGAAACCCCCCCAACAGGAAATGTCACATATAAGAATAGACCAATAAATTGTTTTGCTTTTAACTCGAGCAATATCATTTTTCATATAATAAGAGATTAAACAAAAATACTCTATAGGGTACATGTATTATATACAAGGCATTAACATGCACAATGTCACAACCTGCCATTTATTACAGACACGGAATGCAGAGTACAAACTGCTGAACACAATCCAAAAACTGCCCAACACCATCCACAGAAACGTTGGAGACTATAACAATATGTCACCACTTGTGATGGAGGTGGTGACATAAAAAATCAAATTATTTTTGCAAATATGTGATGAGGATTCTAATGTGACATAACGATTGTGATTAATAAAAGAGTCAATGATAATTGGCCATGCTTTGATGACTAAACATGTGATAATGGTGGAACAAAATTTTTAGAATCTAAATGCACACATGTAAGATGGGTAATAATGCTATATTTAGGTTTTTGGGTTAAACACTATATTTAGGTATTTTGGTTGAATACATGGAGTATGATATTAGAGTTATAACAATTAATAATAAATTAATTGGTTTTATGTGTGTTTTATGGGAGTTAGTCAATTATAGCGAGATAATTGTTTAGAGGTTTAGAAGTAAACAAAACTGGTTGCTAGGTAGTAGAGTAGAATGTAGGTCAGCGTGCATGCTCAGGAAATCACCATTTTCCATCCAATCTTGAAAGTATTTGCCCGCCAACCCTCCCCCAAATGCCACCCATGAATTATCCTCCAACTAAAGTAATCACTATTATATTGGTCAAATGTTACTTTTATATTTTTTAATTAAAACAAAAACTAAAATGTGTAACAGTAATGACAACTCCCTAAAAACACACATAGACCGAAAATACCAATAAAATCTGATATTAGCAGTACAAAAAGAATGGGGAGGGGGACATCAAACTACATTTTAAAAAATATTTTCATTACATTCAAAGATATACAAAACTCTGAAGCTACACGTTGATATGTATGGAAAAGCAAACAAGCTATTCTACAATTGATAAATTACAAATATTCTAATAATTTTATAAATTATGAATATTCTAATACGCAAAGGCCTCACAGCCATATGCCATGCTAAACTGCTAAGATACATTAACATACATTTCACATTTAAAAGCTATATCAACACAACAAATGGCATTCTTACTATTTTTGGCTTGTATGGTGGTTGCACCTCTCTGTTGATGACTTTCAACCAGTCTATACGGCGGAAAAATGCATGATCCTTGACGTCCCTCTCTCCCTGGGTCGTACAGCCAAGTCTCTTTTGGGGGTTTTTCATCAAGAACTAGAGTAAAATAAAGTTGTTTATCAACATTGTTATCAATTAGTAGTTGTATTTAGTAGAGTCTTGCCTATACACATTTGGTGATATTAATTATAAATTTTCCAAATGGATGGAGTTGTTAGCTACATGTATATGTAATTAAAAGTATATTCTTATATGAAACATACACTACATACACTAGACACTCAGTACTCAATTTCTACAAAAGCTATATCACAAAACATCTATTCATTTGAGTTTTGGAGTTTTCATGTAAAATACAAAGTTGTATTAAAAAAAGAAGTGACACTGAAAGAAATATTTCAGGTAGTCATAGTTACCCCTTTACAAATGGAGACAGCTTCTCGAGACATGGCTTTGGGGTACGAGACATTGTGGTCCGTGATTGATGTGAACAGTTCCTCCTCATCTTCTCCGTCAAAAGGAGGCTGGAATATTCAAAATGAGGCTAAGAATATGATGATTGAATCTGTGGCAAGAATAAGTGTGTCAATTGCTAAAGTAATCACCAAACCTCAGAGATTCGTATACATATATATGATATCACAAGATATTATTTTAGCAATCATTACATGTATGTTGCCCTTGCAAAAAATCTTTGTAAAAGCTAAAGCAATAGAACATTAACAACTTATTAATACAATACGATTATCTGTGATAAAATTAATTTCTGATTCAGTAGGTTTTGTAATAAATCAATATATATTTGTATATATACTATTTTTAGTTTATTTTAATTTTTGTCGATTTGTGCATTGATTATATAAACTAGTAGCCAGTTAAAAGGATCAGATATACTCAGGCAGCATAAATCATTATGTGAAGTTATGTTACACGGAATGTCTGGATTATGTTTCTATTATTCAATTACCAGTGATTATAGAGCAATACCCTTGAACAGAGACATATAGAAATAAATATAACTTCTATTTGTATATTTATTATGTATATGTATCTAGCTCAACTCAAATTAGAACATTCCAAACTTCTTTTGAAAACATTTTTTGTTTCTTTTGACTTCTGAAGGACTTCCGTCAAATTTCAGCACATCATTACTTCAACCTGGGACTACTTTTACCAAGGCCAATAATTCAAATTTCAGCTATCTTGGATTATGATCTCACTCATTGGAGATTTTGATTTTAATTTAAAATTTTTGATGACGGACTGTGAAAATTGAAATAATAAGCCAATGTTGAAATAGCTCCACGCTCGTGTCTCATGACAAAGTAACTCTATATGCAGAAGTTTGATGGAGGATCCTTAGGTGACACGCAGTACAATCCCAAATGATTAGTATTTAAAGAGGCGGAAAGGATACAGAGAGCAAAATCATGGAGGCATTTTGCAAATAAACATGCCAAACATTCTCATACAATCCCATTTAATATTTGAGAAAATAGGAAAAAAGAATTGAGGAGGAGAAGTTTCATGTGAAAAAGGGACAGTCTATTTTTGCACACTAAAAATCATTTGCATTTAGTCAGAACTCTTGGACTTCTAACATTAACCAATGACAATGAATCTTGTGAGTAAAAAAATAGAACAATATTTTGACAACTTTTCCAAAAAGTTACCCTTGGTTAATGTCTCTATCCTGTTCTGTTTTTTTAGACTGGTTTGTTAGATAAAGAATTTTTTATGTGGAAATCCCCATGCCCAAAGTGTTTTAGTCAGTGTAAAGGAAGATACTGTGACAATCAATTGCATGTCAAAAGAGGAATTTGTCATTTTGACAAAGTGTATGTATCATTTAGATAGGGGGATGTAATGCAGATTCTACAATTAACCACTTAGAGTTGTGATTCATTTTCTTTGAGACCTAACTTACGAAGAACAATACATCGCGATTCACACGGAAAGGTGGCTGAAAATATGTTCACATTCTAGTCCATTACAAAATGGCTAAGGTATGGATTGACTTGTTGGTCCACCTAATACTTCCACTGGTTTCAATTAAATATTAGTCTAAGCATATAAGCAGTAATAAGCTGGTTGCAGGACTAAAACATAAGTAAACATGTAATGCATATCGATACAATTGTGACATATAATTGAAGAAAAACAACAATGCTATGAGCTTCATAACAAATGTTCTGAGCCAAAATTCACAAATGAAACAGCAAAATGAATGCACATTTATATTCAATAGCTTTGTGAATATATGACTCAAAATAGAACAGAGCATGGTATCTATTCACCAACATACTACAACAAAAAGATAAATCACCTATTCAAGTGTGTGTTCTCACTTGTTGCCCTTCGTGCTGTATACACCAATCACATTAAATGTGTCATATATAGGAAAATGTGATATTTGATTTGAATCACTCACCTGTCCTGCTAACATTTCATAGAGTAGCACTCCAAATGCCCACCAATCTACTGACTTGCCATATGGTTGATATAATACTATCTGAAAGATGGAAAAGAATATTTAGAATTGCAATAAAATCTGTGCTGTGGGATGCCTTTAGTACTTGAATATATTGTCCTACTTGGGAAGCTGTTTCATATATAAAAGGGCTCGTTAGAGAACAGAACATTGTTATATGTAGAGAGGTATTTCACCTAATGATTAAATAATAAACAATATCAAGATAGTCTCAGTGGCATTTTAGTTAACTTAAGCTGACTTTATAAAACACTCATTATGTTTTTCAGGTTCAAATATTTGTTCTCCAGGACAACATTTGCCAATCGTTGTTGACGCAATGAAATTGGTCTATGACAATTTAAGCAGCTCAATATGCAACTCTGACCCTAAAATACTGAATATATCGTATCCCTTGGCCTCAAGATAATCCCTATATCTAAACCTCATATAGGATAATACTTACTTCAGGTGCTATGTAGTCTGGGGTGCCACAAAATGTTCTAGTTGTTTTGTCATCAAATATGTTTTCTTTACACATTCCGAAATCTGCTATCTTTATATGTCCTTCTGCATCTAGCATAACATTATCTAGCTTCAAATCTCTGGAATGAGAACATTTTCAATTTCAATTCTCTGGAAACATAACATCACATTATCCAACTGAAAGTCGTTAACAGCGCATTATCATGCAAAATATCGCCACCTGCCAATTGTTAAATGCCAAACACCAACCACCGAATGCTGTTCACAAAAAAGTTGCATGAATTGTGGTGGTGACATAAAAACAGCATTTTCAAGTTCAACTTAACAGTATCAGCAATGCATTTTAATTAATATGATCAAAAGGGATTTAACATATAGGATCTCATTAGGACATTTTTACATCAAGGTGCTGAATCTTTAACTGTTAAAGCCGAATTACCTCAATATTTCACCATGATGATTTTCAACATGGTGTTAAGTAATTTTCAGACTACAAATAAAGTGCAGCACATGCTTATTCTAATGCTTGAGGGTTGGCTGACATATGTTTTCATTTGTAGTATGTACAAAAGAACGCAACTGCACATACCTGTATATAATGCAACTGCACATACCTGTATATAATGCAACTGCACATACCTGTATATAATGCAACTGCACATACCTGTATATAATGCTACTGCACATACCTGTATATAATGCCCTTGCTATGGAGATACATGAGTCCTATAGCAATCTCTGCAGCATAAAATCTAAAAGAACAATTCAATTCAAACTTAAAGTTAGATTGAATATATCCAAACATCCATCACACTAGAAAGACAGTTAGATTCATTTGAAAATTGGAACGCTGTGGCTTTGACATGAGGTCAACTTATTGCCTATTAATGTATAAATTAATCCCTCAATTTTCTTTGATTCTGTGACCGGAAACAGAATTATGTATAATTCACCCCCCAAGTTGCACAATCGATACTCGTGAACAATGGTGTGAATTCATTTTTCTGGAAAACATAGTTTCATTTAAAAATAACTTACAACCACTCTTAATGTACTCATCTGAGAAAAACACTTCAGATCCTAAATTTCATCAAAATTAGGTTATTTTGAGTCCCTTTAACATACATAAGTCCCTTTAATGTACATACACTGCAACTGGTTCCTTAAACTTTCCCTCCTGTTGAATTCTGTACATGAGATCTCCACCATTGACATACTCCATCACAAAGTACAAACGGTCCTGAAACATGAAATAGTACGGTATGATCACATGGCCATATTTGGTTGAATCAGATAAATGAGGCATGAGCCTGAGCTACAGTATACAAAATATGCACGAAATGACTGTATGAAAGCAATAATAAAAAATTCTTGCAAAATTTGCCTCAAAATTTGCCTTGAAACTTTTTCAAAAACTCCAAGGCTAAATATTTGCGCAAATTTGAACATGTTATTTGATTGAGTTAGCTTACCATTACCCTTTGCATTCACTTCTTAAAAGAGAGCTTCGTCTAGTTTATCTAGACTCTACACGCAGGGTAACTTACCATGGTTTGAAAACAAGAATGCAAGGCAACTAGGAAAGGTGGTTTGTTCTGCAATGCTAAGACCCTCTTCTCTATCATGGTGCATTCTATATCATCATCTTGTATGATAACATCTTTCTTGAGGATCTTTATAGCATAAAGTTCATCAGTGCCCTTTCTCTCTGCTAACATCACCTAGAATCATATATTACCTTTGTTTAATGGAATGTTACCTTTATGAAAATTAAAATGTTACCCTTGATCAAATGCTACCCTTGTGTTTGAAGCACTTGGTAGCATTTACATATAGCACTATATTATTTAATATAATTCTTGTAATAGTGATGTTCTTTGACATCAGGTTGTACAAAAAGTTAAGCAATTTATATCTAGATTTGTTTTGTAAAAACTCATTATGGATATAAGAAAACTGAATGTGATTGGAAAGTCTGTCATAATTTAATTTGGTAAAATAGCAAAATATTTCAATGTTGAATCAAATAATTCCAAATCAAATCAATTGTTTGAACCATGAAAGTCATGTCATCATTATAATCAGAGACACAAACTAAAATATTCCTAAATTAACAGACATTTCATGAAATGCTTCCCAGCTAATGGATTCCTTACAAACAATTTTGTATATACTAATGACAAGCTCACAAAGGGATATTGAAGTCACTCCATCCTTGCCACTTTATGGTACCCTAGATATGTGAATATTACATAATTAGCTTCATGTTCATGCTATTCCCTTCTATTCAGTCTCTTCGTCTGGGGACATGCAATGAGAACATTATCTTGCAACATTTTGTTGGAATATAATAGTTTATTCATAGCTGATGGAAATCACAGGCATTCTGCTCTACAGACTCTGGAGACATTTAATGTAAGACTTTGTTAAGATTAGATTGATGCTGAGGTGAAAGAAGAAGGCAAAACTGAGTGGGAATTCTTTCTAGTGATCATGTACATATGTAGGTTGGTTGGTTGCCACATTCTAAGTACGTGTATATCCCATAGTCTCCTGAAGAAGACACCTTACAGCCAAATGCCATCAACTTTATGCTCTCTCCCTTTTATTCTCTTTAATGAACGCCTCACTCATATGAACACATCTCATGTGAACATCCTTCATGAACACCTTTCTAGATTACATACCTTGCACTTTCCTGAACAATGTTAATTAACACAGTCTCTTTTTGTGAGCACACTCTCTGCCTAGTGAATACCTATTTAACACTCAATGCTGACTTTATACAGATCTTACTCATACAGTAGAAGGATCATTCAAGATGTACAGTTATTCCTCAGATTTCAATTAACAGTATCTTTAGTGAGCTCACTCTCTTGTGAATATTCCTAGTGAAAACCTTGTAAACACCCAATGCAGACTTTATACAGATCATACTCAAACAGTAGATTACAAAAAGGATCATTCAAGATATACTGTACAGTTATTCCTCAGATTTCAATCAGGCTCTACAAAGATCTCAACTAGGCTCCAATCAGGCTCTATAGTCAATATACAGTACATATTAACAAACCATTCAGAAACAGTTAATTAACCTCTTGATTCCCAGGTTCTAAAAAAGGTTGAAACCAGATAATTTTTCATTTTTGCCAGCTTTTGACATTTTACGACATACATATACAACAGACGATGTTCAATTTAGTAAAATTAGACGACAGAGATCATTTCTAGACATTTTAAAACAATTTTTGTGTTAATTGGATAAAAATTGTTCAAATAAGAGCAATTTTGGTGAAATATTTTGTGACGGATTATCTCGTCACCTGGGTTCCAAGGTCATTTCTGAGGGGGCGAGAAATCTCATCACTCTCGGTAGTCAAGAGGTTAATAGAACTCATTAAGGCTCTACAGAGTTAATAAGCTCTATCTTACATCTATACAGTTTGTTGAAATGGCACAGGTGAATTAACTTACAATTCCTTAATTTCATAGAAAAGTCTTTAAGATGGATTAGATACCTTTAGAATAATATCATATTAAAATAGAACACAGAGTTAAATGACACTTGACATCTAGTTATTGCAAGATGTAAGACGACAACCCTTCAAACTAGAGTACTTTATTTATATCTATATTTAGTATCATATCTGCCAGTGTCTTGTGTCTCTCTGTCTTTTATTACTGTATATTATGGAGTCATTTACTCCTTCTTAACTTGTAATCAGCTACAAGAATGCTATTCAATATCATCAGGCAGAAATAAATTAATGAATGGGATACGATTTCAGAGATACTTGTTCAATTAATTGGATGTAAAAAAAAGTCAGTGATGATCAGGGTTTCCATTAAGAATGTAATAATATCTGAGGCATGTTAAACCTTGGTGTAGTTCAAACATATCTAAAGAGAAGCTCAATCATCCAAAGAACAATATAAATTAGGTCCTCTTATATGATAGTTAAAAAATGGGAAGCCTGCAGAGTAGCAAATCCCAACAGAATAATAAGAGAAAACCTTTGACTTGCTACTTTTTCCAAATTCCGCAAGAACCAATTGCAAAATCCACCATTTCTCAGGACTACAATGAAGTTAAATAGTAGAAGAAAAACCGACCTTATAATTACTCTGCAACTGACATCAGTACCGACCTTATAATTACTCTGTAACTGACTAGACCAATAAAATAGAAGTTTATCTTTACATGAACATATGGTTTTGGTACACTGGGAGACCCCACTCCAAGCGTAACCCTCAGATTAACTTTAAGTGACCATTTTACTTAGCCACAATTTCTCAGGACAATGAAGTTAAAGTGACCTAATTTTCCAAAGCCACTACTTTCCAGGACCACAACAAATGTAAAGTGACCTACTTTTCCAAAGCTGCCCTTGCCAAGGACCATGAGGAAGTTAAAATCACTAGCTCTGATGACGTCTCCGTGTGCCACACCTGCCAAGTTCATCCTGGCATCCTTGGCCTTCTGGTCCATAATGTTCTGCATCTAAAACAAACAAACCTCCAATTGATGCACGTAGTGTCTAGATAATGAATTTTCTAAATTTTGAAGTGAATGGTATTTTGTTGAAAACAATACTCTTTTATCGCTTACAGAGTTATGATGTTCCTGCGTAATGCCATAGGATAAATTCCATATTTTGAAAAGCCATAAAGGATTTTTTAGAATATGGTTGATTTTCACCATTCATGTTTTGCAAAATCTAATTTTTTCAAATGCTTGAATTTTGTGATATAATTTTCACCAATGATAGGAAATGAATGTGATATTCTTTCATATGTAGATCCTCGTATTGCAGCTTTGATTAAGACTAACATTTCAAGTTACTTGCAGATATGACTCACTTCAAATTTTTCACGAAGATCTGCAACATTTGGTCCAACTTCTTCTGGACATGGCAAACTGTAAAATTCTCCCTCTTCTTGATTGAGTAGTTTGTACCACCCCTCTGCGGGATCTTTTGCAAGTTCTGATATCCCAAAGGATAATGACCCCATAAAATCATTACGAGAAGTCCTATCCCAATCCCATACTTCTATAGAGAGTCGTTTAGAGAAATCAGGTTCTTGGATTTTCCTGAAATAAATAGCAGATTATATCTTACTTCATTTTGATTTAAAACATATACACTGTATTTACAACAGTAAGCATAACTAAGTGATATATGAGAGTGACAATGAGAGTGTTTGTGTTCAATGGAGAATTTTTCACTTTAATTAATTGAAACCTGTGCACTTGAACAACTCAAAATATGAACACTTTAAATCAAAAAAAGTACCAGCTCTGTTTATTTTTTCATGCATTACCAAGCCTGTCTAAAGGAGATTTTTGCATTTGATGATGCATGGCTCTCAGATATACACAAAATGTGTCAGAGAGGGCCTAAATTTTGTGCCAACGCAGCAACGATTTGAGTGAGCACTATCCATCTGTGAGCAAAAGTCATCCCTTCTTGGGAAATCCTTTGGAAGGGCATTATTATTGCTGCCATACTGTTAAACCAGTATTCCTCCAGTCATATGTAATACCTCTATATATCAAGTTGGGGTATAACAGCCATATTGTATTTGTTTTGAATATGTATCAAATTGATAGAACAATTTTGGGATCTTTCTTTAACAGAATATGATTATGACAAAATATATGCCAGGCATAATATCTAATACATAAATGGTGATCACTCAATTATTCATTAATGGTCCAAAATGCTGGTATGATATTCATAAAAATGACTACAGGTATATAATACAATGTCAAACTATAAGAGCTGTGATAACTAACATATATATTAGCAAATGTACCTGAGCACTAACGTTGACTTGAATATTTGTATTAATGAAAATTGACGGTTTTGGGAAATGCGATAATCTATTGTATATCTGATATCATAGTATAAAATATAATATGCAGTATATAAATCATTATATTAACATGTGAATGAAACGAGTTCTATATCCATGAACATTGTAAGTCCATTGATTTACAGATTTGTTACTTTACACGATATAGGAGAAACTGATATCTGAATTCATAAAGGAATTCTATATAAAATGTAGAAAATATAAAAATCTTGATGAAACTAACACAACATCCCCTTTGGGGCAATACAACAACAACAAAAAACTGCAGCTATTAGCAATAACACTCAAAGGACATGAACAAAATGCAATAATATTTTAACTGATGCTGTTTAACAGATAGATCAGTTCTGAATCAATCTAATGAGAATACACCGAGTCATGATTTAATATGAGATATAAAATACTAAAGGCCTTCAGAGAAAGATGAAAATAATAATTGAAATTGGAAATTTCTGGGAAACAAGTGATGATAAACACAGATAATGGATGTCAGAATTATAATACCAGGACTAATAAAAAGATATTTTAGCTAAAAGAATATGTCCCTTTATGTTACAATTTTCATTAAATCTCATAATGGCCTTTGAGTAACTAAATACTATGATGATATACAACAATAGAAAACAATAATTTCATTAATCAAATTGTTGTATCATGCATCAACGGTATGCGATCCTAGAACACAAAAAGAAAATGGCTGATCAGTGTTATTGGGCATGCTACACCACAAACAGATGTATTACTATAAAGCGTTTGGATGTTTCCCTTCAGTTTGGTGTCTCATTATCAAAAAATGGAACCGTGTTGGTAAAACTACACACCCACATTTTCTCAAAAACAAAAACAGCTAAAAGCATGCTGAATATCTGGTGATGGTAAAGTCAGCCAACTGAATCACCACCAAAATTACACATGCTGCCATCTATTAATGTAATAAGCAATGAATACTGTATTAGTTAATGGGTTTAATGTACAATTAGTAGTGCACACATGGTGTCAGCTGCTCAAGCATATGACCATAATGAGGCTCATTTCAAAATGGCCACCATATCAAGTGCCATCTTTTGAGAGCATTCTGTACTTACACCTGGAATTTTTCATTCCACCTTGGATTAAGGGTGGATTTTACAGTTCCAGTTTTGATTTTTAATCGTCTATCACGATCTATATCATCTTCGGGTATTATTTTAACTTTGCAGTAAGGATCGGCCAGTCCGTTCAGGTCCATGGGACAGAGATTTCTTGCCCCTCGAACTAGAATATAAATAGATTAGAGAACAGGTATATATAAAACCAGACAGAATTTACAAACAAGAATTATTGATTGCAACAAAAATCAGCAAACCTGGTTATAGATACCAAGGAATTGAAAAACGGATTTGCTGATTTTGAACCAATCAAAACAAAGGGTATGTTGCTAGAGTAACAGCACAAATAGCAGCCTATCACTATAGCGACAACAGATGGTGCCATGGGAACAAATGCAACTATAATAGTTACCATAGCAACCATATACTATACCAACAGTGACCACCATATCAACATAGGCTATCACCAAGATATAACCTATCACCAAGACAACCATAGTACAACCACTTACATCTGGAACGTCTCCTTCCATATAGGATTTAATGTGGCTTTTATCGTACGTGTTTTCACTTTGAGTTTTTTGTCATCATCTGGTATTAGTTTAACTTTGCAATATGGGTCAGCTAAACCATTAGGGTCCATAGGACAAAGATTCCTAGCTTCTGAAACTGTACAAGAAACAGGCATGCTATACAGGGTGACTTATAGAGTATTATATGATGTCATATAATACTACTAGGGTGTTCTACAGGGTGATCTTCACTATCCACAGCATCGACATATTCTCTAGGAAATGTTGACTTATAGTATTTTTCTTAATTCTTTTTTTTTCTTTTTATTTTATTCATTTTATTTATATCAAATAATACATTACAGCAAGTACTGTTCAATCGCTTTTCAGCATTTTTTCTTACACATTGCAGTATTGACATATTTGATAAAAGGGATTGAAAAAGATTTAAAATTAAAGTTAACAGAATTCTTTAGACATTATTCATACATGTTATTTTGACTTATATTAGGTCTTTTGCTCAGAGTCAGTCTGTAATTCAAGCACACAGTTCATTATTTGTGCAAATATATGTACATCGAAAATACGGTACTAATGATTGGTCACAATAGAAAAAGTCGATTACAAAAACATTTTCATAATGTTCCTAAGATTGCTTTACACTAATGCAGAGCAAATATTATTAAACGAGACCTTTGCGTATTATATTTCTTTTCATTAAGCTTCGTGTCTCCAATAATCAGAGCCTACTTCAGACTTGAATATTCTACATCATATTCTGATTCAGTTTATTTGCATTGTGGATATTCTTTTTTTGAGAGCATATAAACTACAATGCCATGTGAAAATCCATTTCCCAATGTGAACACTTTTTCTGGTTGGATTTTTTTCTTTTATTGAATCCTATGTTGAAATGAGAACATCTTCAAATTAATCTGAACATGACATCAATTTGAAAAATTCAAAAAAGTAACCTATCTAATATAAATAATGGTTGACTGCATCCTCTTTTTGACCCAATTCTACTTTTCCCGGAGATCTTGTTCACACTACTGGAAAAGTAGACTTGAGGGAAAAAACTATGTACTCTGGCAAAGAGATGAAGCAACCAGGCTTCAAGTGCTAGCTATGATCCTGGTTTTTTCTATGTTTTAAATGCAAGTCCTCTTGCAAAAATCCTGATTACACCCCTGTTTAAGTGAACACCTAATCTAAACAATTTTAACTGGTTCTAGAGGTGTTCAGATCAAACAGGTTTGACTATTGTTAGCTCTGATCTTGAGCAAAATCCTGGATGACAGATCAGTATGTTATTCTACGAAATACACTGAACTTGTATTTGAACAATGTAAGAGATGAAATGCCATTTTTATAATAAACAAGGCATTTGTCATGCCATTTGTCACCACCTGTCATTTGTTACAGATGCTGACTGCCAAACACCAACTACTGAATACTGACTGTCGAAGACCATTCACAAAAAAGTTGGAGACTATAAGAATATGTCACCACTTTTGGTGGTAACATGAAAGTGATTTTTATTTACATATTTATCAAATGTTTATGTTAGTGAGGGTTAGCATATAATACCTCATGTAACATCCTAACTAAACAACCTCAATGCGATTTTGATAACAGGATAACTTATATATATTATAACTTATATATTACTGTTCATGAAAAAGCACAATAAGCAACATTTGAAACCCAATATGAACCCTATAAGTCATATCAAACAACTCAGAGGCATCAGAATTTTCATAATATAAACCACAATAAAGATATGTATTAAATTCTCAAACTAGAAAGAGGAAACCCAAAAAGCCCAAAATGAGTTGTCTGAGATATGAGACATCATGATGATCAATGTTACAAAGGAAATTTGATGAAGTAAAGCTGAGCGCTCGCTTTATCTGACAGTACCAGCATTCAAGCTTTAAAATAATTGTCGAATGTCAAAATAAGAGCAAAAATAAATTAGAAATTGTCAGAGCGAATTCTTATTCAATCAATGAATAGTCTTGAAGAAAAGATATGATTCGTAATCGGAAATTATTTTCCGTCATCTCTTATATTGCACAATAATAAATATCAAGTCACCTATAAATATGCAATTGAGAGTATGTCTTAGATTGAATCATTTCTTACTTATAAACTGATTAAGAACGACCATGGCAATCAAAGATAAGAAAATCAATAATTAAGGTTCAATTGAGGGTTTCGTAATTTGAAATGATTTGGCAAAAATGTGGAAATTCTGACTTCGAAGGATCAGGCTCGAAAGTGACAACTTGTATCATATTGGCCATCAATCAGATAAAGCAGACTGGGGCCTTATGACATAAGAAGGGAACATCTCCAAAAATAGATAAAGGAGGAAATTCGTGATTTTATAGTACTTTTGGAAGACGGGTGAAATGAAGTTGATTTTTCTCTATAATGTTATCATTAAAGTGTTATTCACAGATCAGATTTAATAGACAGAATTTGCAATAATAAGAAAGTTACATTTGTCAAAACTTTTTTTGAGGGGGGGGGGGGGGGTGATACACATGTACATAAACATGTAAATGTAACTAAACATTTGATGGTTAAGTTTTTTCACAACTGTAAACCATATGGTATATGGTATATTTTGATGTAGTCCCCATTTCATAATGAAATGTCACATCAGCAAAGCTGTAGTAATACTGAGCAGCTGAATGTCATTCTTAAATCATCTAAAATCATCTATCAAAACTAAATGTGAAAAGTATATGTACTTCTAAAACTTATCTATTTCATTTCTAATTAAAACTAAATATATTCATAGTTGAAACAAAAATGTTATATAATTGACAATAATGACATATATAAGACAAAATTTGCATACCTTCGACATATATTACACTTCCTTCAATACGAGCTTTAAGTTCAACTCTTCCTCTTCTTTCAGTATGGTCAATTCCACAGAGTTTTGGCACATTTGACTGACATCTCCTATGTACATTCATGTCACATGCTGAAAATAGAATGAAAACTTTTAACATACTGTATAACATGCAGATTGTTACCACCTGCCATTTGTTATGAACGCCTACTGCCAAATCCCATACACAAAAAAGTTGGCGACTGTAACAATATGTCACCTCTTGTGGTGGTGACATAAAAACAGCCACTCTCAAGAGCCTGTAAAAATTTAATCCATAGCACCCAGCCAGACAAACAGAGAAAGACTATATTCCTACTCATTTGGTGAGATATTCAATCATTTCTGATAAAAATAGTAATATGGGTACTGAACTCACATGGTGAAAGTTGCAAAGTGGTATACAAAATCAAAATCAAGATCTCATAAAATGTTACAAGAACACTAAATCTCCTTAATGAGAACACTGAATCTTCTTAAGGAGAACACTGCATCTCCTTAATGAGAACACTGTATCTCCTTAATGAGAACACTGTATCTCCTTAATGAGAACACTGTATCTCCTTAAAGAGAACACTGTATCTCCTTTATGAGAACACTGTATCTCCTTAATGAGAACACTATATCTCCTTAAAGTGTGCGCCAAAGTTTAAAACTGCGCAGGCGCACCGCTCTCGCTAAACTATATAAAGAGATTACCAGGTACACGATTCAGAGGTAAGCCAGGAAGGCGAACGATCTTCGTCTCGTGATGATTTCCCATATAATCGTAACCAGGGAAGTTTGACCATTGAAATTGAAAATTACTATTAGTAAAATTATTAAAATTACTAATAGTATAGATATACTTTGTAGATGTTATTTATGAAGCTATTTAGTGTTTGCATCAATCAAATGGCTCATTTTGAACATATAAAAAGTATTTGTGTTTTGTTTCGCAGGGAATTGTATTGTATGTAGTACACACACATAAATAGTGTACATTATACAGTACTTGAATAGCCTGGTTTACATAATATTGAAGGGCATGCTGATTACATGCACACGAGTACATGAATGAAGGCCTAATATTGAAATACGTAGCTTGCATACCTACATAAAAAATAAACTCTTCTAATCCCTTAATGTAAACACGGCGGTATACGTAGCCCGATTTATCGGGGACTTTAATGAGAACACTAAATCTCCTTAATGAGAACACTGTATCTCCTTAACCAGAACACTGTATCTCCTTAATGAGAACACTGTATCTCCTTAATGAGAACACTGTATCTCCTTAACCAGAACACTGTATCTCCTTAATGAGAACACTGTATCTCCTTAATGAGAACACTGTATCTCCTTAATGAGAACACTGTATCTCCTTAAGGAGAACACTGTATCTCCTTAACCAGAACACTGTATCTCCTTAATGAGAACACTGTATCTCCTTAATGAGAACACTGTATCTCCTTAACCAGAACACTGTATCTCCTTAATGAGAACACTGTATCTCCTTAATGAGAACACTGTATCTCCTTAACCAGAACACTGTATCTCCTTAATGAGAACACTGTATCTCCTTAATGAGAACACTAAATCTCCTTAATGAGAACACTGTATCTCCTTAACCAGAACACTGTATCTCCTTAATGAGAACACTGTATCTCCTTAATGAGAACACTGTATCTCCTTAAGGAGAACACTGTATTTCCTTAAGGAGAACACTGTATTTCCTTAAAGAGAACACTATATCTCCTTAAGGAGAACACTGTATCTCCTTAATGAGAACACTGTATTTCCTTAAGGAGAACACTGTATCTCCTTAAGGAGAACACTGTATCTCCTTAAGGAGAACACTGTATCTCCTTAATGAGAACACTGTATCTCCTTAATGAGAACACTGTATCTCCTTAAGGAGAACACTGTATTTCCTTAAGGAGAACACTGTATTTCCTTAAAGAGAACACTATATCTCCTTAAGGAGAACACTGTATCTCCTTAATGAGAACACTGTATTTCCTTAAGGAGAACACTGTATCTCCTTAAGGAGAACACTGTATCTCCTTAAGGAGAACACTGCATCTCCTTAATGAGAACACTGTATCTCCTTAATGAGATCACTGTATCTCCTTAAGGAGAACACTGTATCTCCTTGGTTAATGTCATGTCATGAAGATCAATTATTGATGACCATATACGAGTCTAAATATTTGATCTTAATTGTGTTTCTGTCTTTTTTATCCATATATCAAATCACAACCCTTATATTCTCTGTCGGTATATAAGCCATTTCTCATCAATCTCCTCAAAGACCCTTATATTCTCCTGATATACCAAATGCAAGCTACTGCAACATAGATTTAAGAAATCTTTCCCTACATCTTAGGTAAAATGCAGAATATCATATTTTTGTTCAGATACTGACCATGGGAAACATTCAAATTGCTTTGGCAAAAACTGTCTGTTAATCAAGAGAGTTTTTTGTGCAATCAATATTTGGTCTTGACAGAAAGTTACAATACAACATCCTCTTACCATCATACAGACAGCAAAAAACCAAAAATCAAGAATGATTATGTATGCATCTAAGAAAGTGTTAAATACATGAGAAGGCGCCTTTAAGCCTATACTGTCTCAGTGTGATAAATCACACGAGATTCTCGATGATATCTTGTAATTGAATAAAGGTTCTAATGTAGAACAAAATGTAATTGTGCATCAAAGCACATGGCTTGTTACATCAGCTACATTCCCAATTAGGTGACGTGCAACTTGACTTAACTTCAACATGATTTTCTTAATCAGGAAAGTGTCGAAAATATTTCCAAATTAGAGACCTTTGATAAATGTGGATGAATTTGGGATTTCAACAAGATTAAGTTTATTCTGTCTCCTTTTCAGCATTCCTTTGAGGAATAAAACACTAAAGGTCTGGCTAAAGGTATGTGCACTAAAGGTATAAAATGTCATAGCAATAGAGCATAAAAGTCTGTGATGTCATACATATACCAATAGAGCACTAAATGTAGATGATGTCCAATTTTTGTTTCTATGAAAATATAGATGGGTCCATTCCCCAAAGACCTCACATTATAAAATCATGGAAGTGAAATATAGTTTCATTTGTTGAACAAATTACAATTTTTTTTACCGAGCATGATTGAAAAATATAATAATAACAATATATGTATCAAACTCAAATAAAGATTAAGATACAAGGTATTAACATGCAAAATGTCCCCACCTGCCATTTGTTGCAGATGCTGAACATTGAGCACCAACTGCTGAATACCAACCTCCGCTACAAAAAGTTGGAGATTATAACAGAACTTCATCACTTGTGGTGGTGACATAAAGATATCTAAGTGCATGCATAAGTGACAAAGGGAGATGACCAAAAACTGTAAAGAGACCTCAGATAGATAAAAATTAATTGATCCACTAATCTATGTATTATTCAAGTATAGGTGAACTTTTTCTCTGCTTGACTCAAATAACATACTGGAACTTACATTATTGATTTTCATAATTGAATGCCTCCTCTGAGATGCTTCAACACAATAGACACACGGCTTTTAGACACGAGAAGTCCTCAAGAACCTCCCTTGAAACAATGACAAGGTCTTCATTCAAGGTTGATGTCACATATAAAGTAATAACAAGTTATTCATTCATTTTGTGTAGATGCCTTTGAACTGTCTCTAGGGTGGTAATAAAAAAGTGTTTGATTACAAATTTGAAATAGATGTGTTAACATGTGAATTGAAATCACTGAACATATTTAGTCATTAGCCAATAACATTTGAACCAGTTATCAAAGATTCTATTATTGCCAAAAGCATCAGCCATTTTAAATTGAATGCCCCTATTGGACATTCCTTCTGGAACAGATCTGGAGGTCTTGTGCCCGCATGGCATCAGTCTAACACTCAATCTGTAAACCAATATAAATGAATGAACTTCAAATGAATAGATGGACAAATAGAAAGAGACATGGACAGACAGACAGCTTCTCTTTACCCCTCTCTTAGATAATAATTAAGTTATGACAGTTTACATCATTAAAATGTATATCCTTGTACCTCAGGTCAACAAACGGCATTACAATGAAATGAAAGATTACAATGAAATGGAAAACAAGTTGTAGCTACTGTGTACTTTATGAGACATGAACTCTATCAGATTAATTCATTATCTTCTGGTTTAGCATGTCAATGGTCATCACTATATGCCAAAGTAAGATTGATACAGTCAGGTTCCTTGAGAATATCAAACAGACTGACTAGATTCTAGATAGACTATGTCTAAAAACAGGGTTGCTACAACTTCAAATTAAAATTCACTGAGTCAAAGTCAGGGATAGGAAATAGATATGTCGAGGGGGATTTTATATAATTTGTGCAGCCACTTTTTGTTTAAATGTACTGTAAATGTATTTTTATAATGTAAGAAAAAAAGGTAAGAAAAACACACACAAATTAAATTGTAAACTATGATTCCTAATTACAAAATTTGAAACTATTCTTAATTACAACAAAAAAATGGCCAAGTACGTATGAATTCAGAAGGAGAGATGAAGAGTTTACTGGAGGGTCCTTCACAAGGCAAGCCCCCTAATCTGACAGTGGACAAGTGTGGGCTGTTCTACTTAATTCCTATCAACCGTCTCTAGTGATCTCTCATCCCTTATTGTAAATGACATAAAACTGGTAAGTTGATTTAACTCTATAATTAATATACTTTCGTGAGATACATCTCGGACATTCACTAGCTGTAGAGGTTCACAAGAAGATAAATGTGATATCTATTCTAGCAGACTTGCTTGCATTTCTCATTTAAGATACAAGAAGAGATTGTGTTGGATTTCTTATTAACATGAGTACATGCTGCTGTTCAATTACTGTATAAGTGGTAATTTTGCCTAATCATTTAATTTGCCTATTTCCTAATTTTTGCCAGGTTCGGAAAATTAAATGTCGGAAATATTGTCTTTATAATGTTATCCAATGGGAGGTTTCTTGTCATTAGGAAAATTAAAATTAGGAAAATGATGAAATTTGACCATTCGGAAAATTAACCACTCGGATTAAATACCACTTATACAGCATAAT